TGGCTTCAGTGGGGACAATTCATAGAACTTTAGTGAAAATATAAAATGGAAGGGGAAACACAGGAGCTTTTTCCTACTGTTGAATGAGTTTCAGCTACAGGTGTTTCCTTTGTAACAGTGTCTGCGTTAAAGATACTGCTCAAGTTGTCCTTAAGCACAGATGTGCCCTTTTCTTTTCCTCTGGCAGTTGCTGCAGTGTTGCCTTGTACTCCCAGAGCCTCTGTGATGCTTTTTGGGTGGGACAAGAAGTAGTGGGATCAATGTGTGTGTTGGGAAGGCACGTTGAGTGTGGGCCTGGCTGTGGTCTGAGGGAGCTGGGAGCCAAAGATGAGCAGGTAGTGCTTGGGGTGGGCAGAAAATCTACAAAAATAAAGAAAAGTCAACAAAAAATAGGAGAAACAAGTACTGAAAATATTAGAAACGCTGATGGGGAATGTGGGAATTCAGAATAATGGTGAAGTGTTGTGTGTTTGAGACTCTTAGTGTGCTTTTCCAACACCAAAGAAAAACGAAAAGTGTGATTCCACGCTTCATTTGCCTCAGTTGGGGTCGTTCAGTTTGATCTGTTGTGAATATGTCTGTGGTGCACTTAATTCCAGTGTCCCCCTGTTTGTGTCTGTAGGTAGGGTTGTCCCAGCACGTCGCACACCAAGCAGTTCTCTTGAGTCCACTTGATGGGAGGCAGCAACGAACGCTCTGGATGGTTGAACTGTGGAAAGTCCCTGGTTATGAAGCTGCAGGGAAGCTGCTGTGTGAAGTTTCCCCCTTTTTAAACATGGGGATAAATATTTATTTAGGCTCATTATGAAATTTACTGCTAGTTTTTTTTGGACGGTTAAAGAGGTGGTGTATAATCACTCGTCCTCGTGACTTGCATGTGCAGGGAGTGCTCTTTCAATTTAGTTTTATTATCTCAGTGGAGTTAATTAACTTTGTAGCTCGTAGGAGCATAGTTTTTCTTAGAGTACCAAACAAGCAGCACCAACCAGTGAGAAACACACATTCCCTGTAGAATGTGGTAATGCCTTGCAGTGTTCTGCAAGTGAAGAGGTTGTCTGTTTTGCTAATAACACCAGTGTGCACAGCTGCATTTGTAATACCAACCAGCGGCAGAAGTTTCACAGCAGCTTTTTGAAGGCTGTTTATTGCTCTTCTAGAGCTTCACTTTCTTTCCTCCCCTCTTTTACATTTGCAGCTCGCCCTTTGAAGGAAAGAAGTGTTTGTTTCTGTTTCGTGTTGGCAGCCCATCAAAGCGAGTCCTTTAGAGATGCCATTAGGGCTCTGCATCGGGCTGATAACCTTCTGAAGAAAACAGACTGTCCCTAACAAGGTCTATGATCCTGTCGTAAACAGACCCTAAAGTTCTCTTAGGAAGATGTCTTTTGTTTAGGATGAGCTTAAAGGAACAGAAGAAGTTGCTTAATCCCCAGCATAGTTGCTTGCTTCCAAACCAGGCTCAGCACTGCTTCACCAAGGGATGTGTGAGTGCCTCTTCCCCACAGCTGTGACGGAAAGGCATCCCCACCAAGTCTGACCAGAGGAGCTAGATGCCTGCAGGTTGATTTATTTTTGTGAGTCATGTATGATGTGCCACGATTAAGAACTGGGGCAGTGAGAAATAAACAATGATGAAGGCTCTGGGCAAGCTTGGTTGTTCCCTTTGGCTAGATCTGGCTTACCAGCAGCACGTTTCTCAGCCCAGAGACTGAGAGGTTTGGGCAAAGGACTGTTGAGGGAATCTAGAGATATTTAATTGATATGTCTTGGTGGCACATTTCTCTTTTTTTTTTCTTCCTGCAGGAGTGGTCTCCCTGTTGTTGCACACTTCAGTGTGCCTGCCATGCTAATGATTTAGTGGAGTTGTACACTCCTTGTTCATTTATCTGTCTCTGTCGTACATCAGAAGACGTTCAGTGGGCCAGCAAACTTGACAGTTTGTGTATCAGGCAGTGCTGACAGGTCAGATTTAGCTTATGATTGCTTTGGGAGATGACCACGGTATCACTGAGGATCGTATCGGGTTTTGATTTTGCAGGGGGGCTGAGTTTCAAACCAGTTTCATCATCTATGGTAAGTCTTTATTGTGATGGTCTCCTTTGTACCATAAGTAAACGCAGTAATAAGTAAACACAGTAATAAGTAAACACAGTAATTACTTTGAAGAACGGTTTCATGAGGCACTTTGAGGACTTGCCAAGGCCTTGTGTTCAACCCTGTTGTTCAAAGGGTTGATTTCAGATAGACTGATGTGGTATTTTTTGCTTGAAGGGATCTTATTTTTAATGACACTTTCAGTATAAGTGTTTTTTGTTCTTATTATTCTTATCTCCAAATTGGAACATCAAAAGAGTCCCAGACACCTGGTTAAGCTGAAAATGAAGCCTCACAACACTTTCACCTTCCCTCTCATGCTGTGCTCTTCATTTTATTTCTTAGCTTGTGAAGAATCACAGCCCCGGGAGGACTTTGGGTATTCCTTGCTCCACCCTGCTTATCTCAGTGATGTTTGGAATTTACAGCATGTTTTCCTGCAACTTTTTAAATTACAAGGTGCTCTGTTATTTCCTCTTAAACATCTTTAATGTTGGCAAGTCTTGAGAGATACTGCTAGAATTATTGAAAATGAGTGTTTTCTTTGAATAATAATGTGTATTTTTGTATGTTTCCTTGTAAGTAGAATATTCAGGTTACCTGGGCTTGGGGTTTTAAGATCTGTTGCATTATTTTCTTCCATGTCTACAAAAGCCCTCGGTAGATGAGGGCGTATCTTTATGGAATAAGTTACGAAGGATTTATGGTTTCTCTGGCACAGGGAGAATCTGAAATTCATTTACCTTGGAAAATGAATTATTGGCAGATGGGTCTTTTCAGGATCTATATTCTCTCCATTTTGCAGAATCACAGAATGGCCAGGGTTGGAAAGGACCTCAAGGATCATGAAGCTCCAACCCCCTGCCGCATGCAGGGCCACCAACCTCCCCATTTCAGATCAAGCTGCCCAGGGCCCCATCCAACCTGGCCTTGAACACCTCCAGGGATGGACGGGGCATCCACAGCCTCTCTGGGCAGCTGTTCCAGCACCTCACCACTCCCTCAACTTCAAACCCTTTCCCCTTGTCCAGCTGTTTTCCACCCCTTGCAAAGAGTTGAAAGGGTTCCTTCTTCTGCTGACACATGACTTTGTGGCTCACACTTGGACAGGACAGTAGCTTCAGTAGCTTTTGGAGTGTCACTCGGGCTCTGCATTTGTTGGTACGACAACATTGTTTGCAGTCAAGGCTTTTCTTGAATGAAATTTATGCTTGGCCGTGGTGATGACTGCTGTAGAAGTGCTTCTGCATGTTTTGTTAGGGAACTCGGGGGAAAAAAGAAAGAAAACTCACCACATGTTATGCAAATGTCCATTTTGCTGGAATTGAAAGAGTAATCACCATCTTCTTGTATACTTCATGGTATGTTTATATGATGCTGGGGACTTTAGTGCATACGTAAACAGAGATCTGCAACATAATACAAATTGTGTTCCTTCGACAAGTTACAGTGGTGTGAGTGGTGTAATCTTTTTGTGTAGCACTGGAGAGTGTTGTGGCTGCCTGCATCCTTGAGTTCAGCGGTGAGACCGTGGACAGGTGGGCCAGCATGGCAGCATGGAGAGCCAGAGGGAGGACGGTGAGCTGGCAGTGCGGGGTGTCTTGTCCCGTCTTCATTCTCCTTCCTCCAAATGAGGTCTCCATGAGGTCTCCTCTGAACAAAACAGCTGTTTCAGCATAGACCTTTGCTAACTGCTGCTGGAAGGGGAGGTGGAACTCCAAACTCAGGTGCTTCAAGGTTATATCCAAAGGTCCTCCCACCATTTTGTCATTTGTTTGGCTGCTGAGTTCCTCTTATTTGTTTGCTTTCTAACTATTTGTCTTTCCGTATGAAACAGCAGTGTAAAGAATTCAACGTGTAAACATGGGAGGAGAATGATAGCCCTTAGAGAACCTTGTAAATATCTTATTGAAAGAATTATTTGTTTCCTTGGCTGCTTTTTGGCGAGTGATACCATTCCTTGGAGGATGGTGTAACAGTCCTTTGGAAGTGGTAATGCTGGGTAGAATTTGTTGGGGATGTTTTCAGTAAGTTTTTAACGTTGCTACTGGGGATTCCGTTGAAAGTTTTGGCTCATTCTTACATTCACTGATTGAAAGATGAGATTTTGTCAAAAGCTTCCCAATTAAAACTTCTCTTGCGTAAATCCCAAACCATCTGTTCCTGGGAAACTACTTGTCCTGCTCAGACACGCAGCCAGACCTTTATAAAGCAGATGTGAGTGATTCTGAAGTCACTCTTGGTTCCATTTAGTATACCAGAACATCTCTGTACGCATGATAATTCCTTGCAATTTCTCCTTATTAACTTTGGAGCTATAATATTGTTAAACATTTTCCTTTTAAGTAGTGAAAAAAGCTCAATTGAAATCACATGCTATTTTAAGAAATAAATCCATAACGTTACTCCTTTACCATACAAAACCAGACTGTTTTTATTAACAGTCCCAACGTTGATTTTAGAGCATCAGCAAGACGAAGCACGAGTCTTTGGGGCAGCTGTAGGATGTGAGCCTCCTCTGCGAGACCCTTTAGTTGACACTGAATCCTGTTTGTTCGCCGGTGGAGCGGGGGAGCTTTGGTTCACACAGAGTGCTGTGGTTGGCATGCTTCCTGCCCGAGCTGCAAGCTGACAGCAGCCACAGGCAACTACTTTGCACCGGCTTGGAAAGCCAAAACAGCTTGTTTGAAAGCAGAGCAAAAAGCAGCAGGGCTGAGGAGTTTTACAGCTGCCACTTCCACATCTGGGGAGCGGGTTTGGGTTTCATAATGCCCTTGCCAAACTGGTAGGAGCTGGGCGTGCCTAAATCTGGCTTTGTCCTTCAAGAAGCCAAGCTTTGCTTTTACGAGTGACGTGTTTGATTTGTCAGAATCTTCAATCTCTCAGTTTTTGTTGTGTTGTTGTTTTAGGAGGGCCAAACATATGGGCCATCACCGCAGAAGAGCGGGCCAAGCACGACAAGCAGTTTGATAGCCTTAAACCCATGGGAGGCTACATTACAGGTTAGTCTGGGATTCTGCATTACACATTAACTTCTGGGTACACATAAGTAATGTTGTGAAACAGTTTGAAAACTACATCCTATTTCAGGCCTTTGTGGTGTGACTAATAAGCATAGTTTGGGCAAACAGCCACAGGTTATTACTGAACTTGTACGAGCTTTGGACCGAAGTCTGGCACAGAAGCACACAGTTGTTAACCCCATCACTTCTGCAGCCAGCAGTCAAGTGCTGTCACTCTGCCTGCTTTCAAAAAACAGAGTCAGAGGCTGAATCTGCACTGAGATGGGAAGCTGCCAACAAAACACTTCTTCTAGCTATTGTGGCAAGCGATGCCAGGGACACAAGAAGTGCTCTCTTCTGTCTGAAAAGAGCTGGAGAACACTGCGATGTGAGATATCTTTGTTCTGGAGTAGGAGGCAGGGAGAGAGATGCTGACAACTCATCCTTGTTAATGACTGCTTATAGTTTATTAACCCTCACTCCTGCCTGCCTAACTATCTGCTGAGTCTGTACCCTGTCTGCTAACTCTGGTGCCCCTATTTTTCCTCTTTTCTGTCTGAAAGGGACAGAGAAAAGAGTAGGAAGTTGTCTGTGGGGAGTATGCACTTCTGTTAGCTAAGAGATAACTATCTCCTGCATTGACCAAACAAATGCTGATGTCTCAGTGCTGTTTTAGCACCAGCTGGAAAGTGTGCCTTCCCAGGAACTACCTTGAGGCCATGTCGTGGCCACCACATGCATGTCTGCACGCTTCATTATTTATTTGTAGAGTGCTTGAAATTAAAGACTGTGAATAAAAGGGGAAGAAGGTGCTGAAAAAATAACCTGAAGCCTTAGATTTAAGCTTTTATAATTTGCTCCTAGATAAGCATAAACACCACTGCCTGTGCTTTATTATATCTTTGTTCAGCAGCACAGTCAGTGTCAGTTGATGTGCAGTTTGGTATGAATGTGCTCAGTGGTTCCTGTTCCCTTCCTGAGATATTGAATGCTTCTGTGATGGAACAGAATATTGCTTAGAACATGAGATTTTGCTTCTTTTTATTTTTTTATCTGTTTTCCTTTTCCTAGAGAGACAGTAGTGGCTCAGGTTAGGTTGGATGAAGGAGAAGGAAAGAAACGGAGTGCTCATCCTTTCCTCTAAAAGTAATTAGGTCAGGATGAAATTTTTGCTCATTAGTTGTACTTTGTACGTATGACATCTCTTGACATGGTGCAGTTGTTAAACTGTTGGCAGTTGTTTGGTTCTTTTTTCCTCCCACATTTTAAAGCTTCTTACTGCTATTTGAAGCTGTGCTTTTGAGAGCGGATTCAAGATTACAGGAAGACATCTGATAACAGCTGTCACGAAGGAAGGAGCGAAGTGACACACAACCAAAAAGATTAGAAAGTGTGGTGATTCCTTTTGAGGATCTGCTCCCACGAGGGAGTGCTGAGGTTGTCTGAGGTTTGATGCTTGTCAATATCCATGTGCATAGAGTCAAAGCCTCTTTCTTTCGTGTTTCTCATAGGTGATCAAGCACGTACCTTTTTTTTGCAATCAGGTCTACCATCTTCAGTCCTCGCTGACATATGGTAAGGTGTTCTTGCTTTAATTTTATATTTCTGTTTTTTAAAATGGGAAGTGCGTGGCATCCAACTGCTGTAACAGACAACAATCTGAAGCTCCATCGTAGGTCAGTTATAATAGACTGTAAGGTACCAACCCAGAGCTGTAACATAGGAACAGGACAAAGTTCTGTTCTTTGCAACACGCATGTGGTGGTTGCAACACTTAGAAGATAATTTTTCTTCTTAGAAACTCTTCAGGCTTCACCCACGGTGCTGCAGTGGGTGTTGTTATCAGGATGGACACATGCTGAAAGTCAGAGCGGACCGTAATCATTAAGAGGGACTCACTGGTGGAGAAAAGAAAAGAAAGCATTTTGATGTAATGCTAAGTTAGTTTCTTCTTCAGACACTCCACAGCACAGGTCAGCACTGATTTGTTCTGAGTAGTGAGAGAACACAGCTGGAAATGAGAACGTGTAGCTCGTTATTAACCTTGCCATTTTTTATCCACGCTCCTGTGCCTGTTCATGGACATCTAATTTATTAATGAGATTTCAGAATTTGTGAAGTAATACAGTTTTTGAAGTGGCTTCTAATGCCTGTAGCAGGTTTCTGTATTGTAATGGTTTTTTTGCAGTAATTCCCTGTGCTGCAACATACTTATTTAAAATAATTGCTCTTGCTCTCAGCATGGAAAAAACATTGCTGTAGCAACAAGTAAGCAGGAGATGACTGTTTTCCCAAATATCTTCCTACTCTAAGTATTTAATACATAGTAACTTGAAAATTGAAGTAAGTAGAAGTCTACCAAGTGAATTAAATTGGATATTGTTAGATGTTATACTTTGAAATGATGCAAACTTAGAAGAATTTAGATGTTGTTATAAGGAGAAGGTATATAGATGGTTGCAGTGTGTTGTTTTCTTGTATAAAAACAGGTAAAATTGATAATAAAGCTTCTCATTTGGTGAAAAGCTTTGTTACATTTCTGCTGTGTGGACTCTTTCTTTCTTTTCTTGTTCCTTTAAGGGCACTGTCAGACTTGAACAAAGATGGAAAAATGGATCAACAGGAGTTCTCTATAGCCATGAAACTCATCAAGCTGAAATTACAAGGACAGCACTTGCCTATGGTTCTCCCTCCTGTCATGAAACAAACTCCAGTACTTTCACCTCTAATGTCAGCTCGCTTTGGTACTTATTAATATACAGTTAATTGGTGTTCAGAGAGAAAACACACAGTTGATCTGCATTCAAACACAAGTATCATTAATCTGACCACAGCACTGAGGGAATCAGTTAAAAACAAGAAACCACCATGGCTATGCTGATGCAAGAAATCCACAAAGCCTCTTACTTGAGGCAGAGCAAATGGCCTTTTTGATGACTTCATTCTCTGAAGACATTTAATAATAAAGAAGCAGCATCTATTGAATTTTGAGGTTCAGGAGGGCCCTTCACATCTGCCCTTTGGCTTGCAGGCTGTCATACTGAAGGCCTTTTTCTGTCTCCCTCTATTCACTCATGAGATTACCCTCCTAACTTTCTTTTTCTTTCTTTAAGTTAAACTTAGCAAGGGTCAAAGTTTTGACATCAGTTACTTAAAATACTTTTTTAGAATTAATCAGATTGTTCACTTGATCATTGATGGAATATAATTATTTTTAACCTTTCTGCCATGTTTTAGAATTGAGTTTGTGTCAGTGCACGTCTGATTGTAATTTTGTAGAAGAAAATACATACCTGGTTTCAGCTAGGCTACAGAATTCTGCATGTACTTCTTTCAGTGTTTATACAGTGGAGTTCAATGTGTGTGTGTAATAATTGCACATGTGATTTTTAAATGTCTGCCCCACTCTGAATCTTGTGTTTGCATACCAGTGCATGCATTTATATATAGCTGTGGTTGGCAAATGAATACTTGCTATTAACCTTTCATCACCTCATCTGCATCCTGTTTTCCTCCACAAGATTTAGTCAGTAATTCAAGTGTCTTAATCGGAAAACTGCCTTAAAGCAATCCTGTGTTGGGCATGTGCCCCTAAATATGGACATTTCAGCTTTGTACATTTTTTTGGGACCAAGATTAGGAAGAGGCTTAGTTCAGAAATACCACCAGCTGCTCTTTGTAGAGAATTGTCACAGGTTTCCTGTTCTGTTAGAATTCTGTCTCAGGGGGCAGACACAGAAAGGCTTCTTGAAAAATGAGTTATGTGGGTAATTATAGAAAATTACATCTTAATCCTTTTGTGAAATATTTGCCAGGTCAGCCTGGAGAATGAATTCCTTGTAAGGAGCGGGGTTGGGTTTTTATTTTGTAAATTCATCTTCAGTATATTTCCTTCTGTTAGCTGTGCTGTGTGAATGTTGGGGGAAGAGCAAATATTCTACACAAGCATCTATTTAATTGCATCTCTGGATGCAGGCTGCTTTGTGTGCTTTTACTTAGCATGGTGGATTCCATTTCTTCCTGGAGTGTGTGCCATACAAGATCATGAATTGTTTGTTTTTGCCCTAGGAATGGGTAGTATGCCAAATTTGTCCATGCCAACATCCATGTCTACGATCACACCGTTAGCTCCAATGTCTCTGACCTCAATGACATCCGTTCCTCCTTTGGTTATTTCTGCTCCCCTGGTGCCTTCTGTCAGTACCTCATCACTGCCAAACGGAACATCCAGCCTTCTGCAGCCTTTGGCCATACCTTTCTCTTCAAGTAAGTAGAGTGCAGTCCACTGCTTGGTTTGATGGGTGAATCCTGGCTAATTTCAGAGAGAAACGCACTAATATGCAAGTTAATAAATAAATTAATAAACGTATATAGAATCATAATCATAGAATCACAGAATTGCCTGAGTTGAAAAGGACCACAATGATCATCAAGTTTCAACCTCCCTGCTGTGTGCAGGTCACCAACCAGCAGCCCAGGCTGCCCAGAGCCACATCCAGCCTGGCCTTGAATGCCTGCAGGGATGGGGCATCCACAGCCTCCTTGGGCAACCTGTTCCACTGCCTCACCACCCTCTGGGGGAAAAACTTCCTCCTGATATCCAACCTAAACCTCCCCTGTCTCAGTTTATAACCATTCCCCCTTGTCCTATCACCATCCACCCTCACAAACAGCCGTTCCCCCTCCTGGTTCTATGCTCCCTTCAAGTGCTGGAAGGCCACAATGAGGTCTCCCTGGAGCCTTCTCTTCTCCAAGCTGAACAAGCCCAGTTCCCTCACCCTTTCCTCACAGGAGAGCTGCTCCAGCCCTCTGATCATCTCAGTGCCCTCCTCTGGACCCACTCCAAGAGCTCCATGTCCTTCATGTCCTGCAGGCCCCAGGCCTGGTTGTAATACTGCAGATGGGGCCTCACAAGGGCTGAGTGGGGGGGGACGATCACCTCCCTCTCCCTGCTGGCCACCCAGTACACACACATTCTTTCCAAATGTTGCATTTGTCACGTCTTTCATAACTAAACAACCTTTAAAACAAGGCACTGATGAGCTTTTCTTATTTCTCTCAAACACTTGGGTGTTTCTTACAAATCATTACTGTATACCAGTTTTCTTTACAGCTTTTGGTTTTGTCTGTTTCAGTGCAGCCTCATACCGGTTCCTTAGGTCCCATGGCAGGAGGGTTTGGTGGATCTAACATGCAGAAGGCACAGTCACTAATTGATTTAGGATCTAGCAGGTATGAAAGTTTAGTTTACAATGGCTGTATCTTGTACTCGAATAGTACGCCTCCTAAAAAACACAAAGCACTTCTGTTTTTTAGGTATTATTCATTGATAATGGCCTGCCAAATCTGAAAGTAGATTGTTTTGATCTAGGCAAATTAATATTTTCAATAACTCTATCAAAACTTTCTGAAGTAGAAGAGAAAGTTCAGACAAGTAAAAGCAGTGCCAAAAGGAAGGTAATGCACAGCATTAGCAAATAAAAGTAAGACAAGTGGTTGTAAAAGCAGTGCTTATGGATTGATGTGGTCATTCATTATAGATAGCACCAACAGGCACATAAGAACAGTGTTATAAATATTTATCTGTGAATTTGTGTCGTGAATAATAGATGATCATCAATCTTTGTCATCACTGCTCTGTTTGCTGATTTTAGAGCTTTGTCACAGGCAGAAGAAAGGGTTTGGCTTTATCTGTACAGTTGGGCTTCAAAGGGGCAACTCCCAAAAGAGTGCAGGGGCTTCTCAGTTCCAGAAGGTGGTTCAGAAATGCTTGGACTTTTTTGCTGCTGGCACAAGATGTAGGATGAATGCATGTCCAACTTTGGGCTTCTCATCTGGGCAACAAATAATGCTGCATATCTTCTGTACCAATGCCTGTTTGTTAAGCTGAGTAACTAACTTAGAGATCTTCTTTCTTTTTTTCTTATTTGAAACTGTGTTGCAGTTCAAATTCTTCCTCTAGTGCTTCGCTAGCTGGGAATTCACCAAAGATTGCACCTTCAGACTGGGCAGTTCCTCAGGCTTCCAGATTAAAATACAGACAGAAATTTAACAGTCTTGATAAAAGTATGAGTGGATATTTATCAGGTGAGTATGGCACTTGGTACACATGGGGAAAAAGCAGTGGAGCAGTGCTTTCTGTGAAAATGAGGCACATCTACACAATTGCTTTTGTGCCAGGTCTCCATTTCTGCGTGTATCCATCAGTAACTGCTTAGATATTTGGGCTTTGTCTTCTTTTCAAAGAACGCAGCTGAGGAAAGATGTGGCAGTCGTGCAGGCATGGATTGTAACTTCTGGAATGGAATTTAAGGGTGTAATTCCTCGTTGACTTCCAGTGATGTCTGTGTTGTGCCACAGCATTGTGGTGACTTGGAAAGACTTTGCACAAAGTTAGCACAAGAGCAGAATTAGAAATGAATGGAAGTGCTTGTAAAACTGGATTATTAATGGTGATCTGGTGAGTGGAGATAGATTTGGAGTCAGAACGTATGCCTGTAGCTGAGCAGATTTCTCATTTTGACTGACTACTTGCCAACCCTCTGCCTCAGTTTTTTAGTACACAAAAAAGGACAATTGTCTCTTCCCTGAAAGGGACTCTATGTATTTTTATCTTGTTTGGTTGATTTTGGGGCTGAAGGTTTTGTTGACTTGCCTGAGAAAGGCGGATGGCTCTCTGCTGACCAAGGAAAACTGGCAGTTTTCCACCTTACCAGCTCAAACTTCCAGCAGGCAGTCAGCTGTGCTCTTGTAACAGCTGTGGGGATTACCATAAATACCCCTTTTTTATGTCAGTTTTTCAGTTTTGACCTTTGAATGAAAAGAGAATTACACCAGAATACTTACATCTTCATTGTGTTCAGATTGTAATGCCTTTTGTTCAGCCTGGAAGTAATGCCAACTGTCAGCGATTAATGAAAATGGATCAGATTAACATTAAAAATAAACATGCCCCAGTTCATGACCCATTTTTGCTACATGTGAATCTTTGTTCCAAGTATTTATTAATCTCTTTTGTGTTTTTGCATGAAGGATTTCAAGCAAGGAATGCCCTTCTGCAATCAAACCTCTCGCAGACTCAGCTGGCTACTATTTGGTAAGTTGAGTTGCTGAATGTGCATTCAATACATTTATGGTGTTAAAAGAGAGGAAGTTTTTATTTAATAAGAAATGATGAAAGGACGCCGTAGATCTGGCACTGTAAGCAGAAACAAAGCTGCTTCTTAAACTCATTTGGTGATTGATTTTTCAAGACGCTTCAACTTTAATGTATTAAACTTTTCACTTTTTGGACTAGATGGCCCACAGGGCTCTCTTCCAACTCTAAGGATTTTATGATTCTATTCTATTCACACTTTGTTTTTTGAATTCCATAGAGTAGCACAGATGTTCATTTCAACTTCCATCTCAGTGGTGGGATACTTAAGGTGAGGTGAGGCGAGGATTTGTTTGTTTGAAAAGCAGAATTGTAAAGCAAAAGATCAACCCCTACAGTTCTGTGATCTCATCTTGGAACAGGCTGCCCAGAAAGGTTGTGGATCCCTGGAGGTGTTCAAGGCCAGGTTGGATGGGGCCCTGGGCAGCCTGGGCTGGTATTAAAGGTGGAGGTTGGTGGCCCTGCATGCGACAAGAGGGTTGGAGCTTCATGATCCTTGAGGTCCCTTCCAACCCAAGTCATTCTGTGATTGAGATGATTCTATGATCTTGTTAGTTTTAAAATATGGAGAGCTTATAGAAGAAGGAGTCAAGGTACATCAGGGTACTTGCAAATCAAACAGCTTTTAAGATTTGTCTTTGCTGTGGTGGTGGAAATTGTTACAGTTGTCTGAAGGCTTGAATAATTTGCCTTTAACCTGCTAGATAAGATAGTTTGGATTTTGCTTTCAGTTATAACTTGGATTTCACGTGTGAACTTCACTGTTCCAGAGGAACACTGAGGTTCCATTGTTGTCTTTATCTTGGGGGCAGTCATTTGTTTGTATCAACAGCGACCTGAAACATGATTCCTATTTGATTGTGCACTGTGAGGGTAAAAATGGAGTTTGTGGTTGTGTTCATCCATGTAGGAGTGTGGGGAAATAAAGCAGGGACACAGCTACTGCTTTCCTCCTGGGTGCCTGGTCTGGATGCATCAGTAGCCAGTGCAGGGATGTCTCTGTGCACGTGTAGATTACCAGACCAACTTACAGTTTTGCCCAAAGTAAGGGATTACTGATACTTCTACTGGCATTGTGGTCTTAATTACTGTAATATAGCACTAACAATGTAATAATAAATAACAGTACTGTGTGAATAGTGTTGGTCTGTCAGCACAATAAAAAACTCATTTCATCATCTCCTCCTTTTGTTTTTTCCCTGTGGCGTGTGAGTGGGTGGTGGATTTTTTGTTTGCTTCCTTCTTGATTCTTTTTTCAATGGCTCATTTTTGTGTGTCCAACTCTGAGTACAAAATACAGCACAGACAGGTATTGAGCATCTCACATAAGGCCAGTCTGAGTCTAAGGACACAGTTCATATCTGAATCGATGGTTCTTTGAGAATAATGTCTCCTTCCAGCCACTCCTTCCATCCACAGTTCTTATTACTAATTTTAATTTTGCCACCTTTCAGAGGAGTTTTCTGTTTGTTATTTCACAGTTCCAGGTGTGAAAATCTTCGGCTGTCACTTGTGAATGGTGGTGATGTTTAGTTCTAATTATTATTGCTATTAAAACTGTGCAGGTCATTGGCTGATATTGATGGAGATGGACAGCTGAAAGCAGATGAGTTTGTGTTAGCCATGCACCTAACTGATATGGCCAAAGCTGGGCAACCTCTGCCACTAACTCTGCCTCTGGAGCTGGTACCACCTTCCTTCAGGTAAATTGCTGAAGGCAGTCAAACATACTATGTCTTCAACAGAAGCTTTTTATGCAAACAAGGTAACTGTGTTATTTGTCTGATGGGGTTTTGTGTTTGTTGTTGTTGTTTTTTGGTTGTTTTTTTTTTTTGCCATCTCCAGGAGTGGAAAATACTCTGAAAATATCAATGGAACTCTGCCGTCTTACCAGCCTGTGCAAGAGGAGGAGCCACAGAAAAAACAGCCAGGTAAAACAAAGTTCATGGTCTCATTGTTGATAAATAAGGCTGTCTTTGAAGGACACTGGAACACTTAGAAAGTGGAAGACGTAACCAAATCCCTGGGGGGTTTCATTTCAGGAGCTAGATCCCTTTTAACTTGGACGGTAGGAGGGTTGTTAAGTGGCTGTAGTCAGCCTATTACATCTAATAAAAAGGAGAAGGCAGAGATGGGTGCTATTATTAGCTGTAGGAATGGAAAAGTGTGCTGATTAATAATGTATTTTGGAAAATAAATCTTTCATTTTCAACCACTGCAGTGCTACTGCAAAATTTTTTTGCTGTTGAGTGTTACTGGCTGTACTTTGTTCTGGACATTCTGAAAACAAGAGATCCCAATGTTGTTTAATTATCTAAAGACAAGATGTGAGTTGCACACAAAAGTCAATTCTGCTGTTGGCTGCCTGATGGCAACGGTCTGTTGTGTGTGCAGTGTGGGACTCAGCGTGCCTCCCTTTTTAAGAGTGGCTGCTGGGAGCCTCAGTCCCTCCTTTCAGTCTCCTTTTATCCTGCTGTAGTTCAGCTTAATCCTGTTTTGTTTTCTGCTGTTTTTAACTCCAGGAGATCTTACAGGGAACGCCCTTTAAGGCTCACTCTGTGTGTTAACATTTCTTGCTCAGTGGAAAACCTCTGTAACAAAATATTGACTTCTCTCAGCTTGTAAAAGCTGCTCCTTTGTGTTTCCTTTAAAATTAAAACCATTTTCTTGGTCAGTTTTAAATGCAATGTTTTTGCAATTGGAATAGACTTAGGAAAGTTTCAAGGTATTTTTGAGAAGAAAAATAGTACTAGAAAAAATGCCAAGTGCTTCCATCGTCGTGACCTGACTACCTGAACTTGCCAAAAAGAGAATACCTATCTTTAGTGGCGTAACTGAGGCACTTGTTGGAGAGCAGTGTTTTGCACAGGACAGAAATAACTACTTCTCCTTGTTTTAGTGACATTTGAGGACAAAAGAAAAGCAAACTATGAGAGAGGAAACGTGGAGCTGGAAAAACGCCGTCAGGTCCTGTTGGAACAGCAGCAGAGAGAGGCAGAACGTAAGGCTCAGAAAGAAAGAGAAGAACAAGAACGAAGAGAGAGGGAACGTCAGGAGCAGGAACGGAAAAAACAGCTTGAATTGGAAAGGCAGCTGGAGAGACAACGAGAGCTGGAAAGACAAAGGGAAGAAGAAAGGAGGAAAGAAATAGAAAGGCGGGAGGTTGTTTTCTTGACGTTGTTTTTGTAATGCTGTAAGGAATGTGTGTGTGCATGTGGTGTTCACTTGATGGAGCGCTCAGGATTTGGGCACTGACCTCGACTCATTCTCGTTGAGTGGCCAATGGCAGGCTCTCCTGGAGAGAGAATGGCATTTCTGTCTGAAAATAGTGTGTTACAAATGAACAAAGTGGTGTTTGAATCCAAGACTTTCGGATTCTTCGAAGGACAGATGAGACTTGTTGGATAGATTTCTTAGCTTTAATTAAAAAATACATATATCTGTATTCCAAACAAGACTACTGAATTGACAGCTGATAATATTTTGCTGTTTGAACTTCAGGCAGATTTGCTTCTGCCTGGTGTCTCAGTGTGTGCATAAGGCTTTCATGTTTTAGGTAGATCTGTGAAATACTCAAAAGAGGTTAGGAATAATATCTCAGCGTGCTCATTTGTGGTCAGTTTTCTAAGCTAAGTAGATTTTTTTTCCTCTCTGAATTATGCATCTTTCATCAGATTGCTTTCCTTTACCAGGGATAGGAGCGTGGCATGAAGAACCCTGGCGGATCACTTCCGCCATTCTTTGACGCTGATGTTTATAAAGACATTTTGAGGAAAACAATACATTGTGTTACTGTTACACTGTCTACAAGTTGAGCACATTGTATTAAAGCATGATCTCAGGGCTCTGTACCTGCGTGGTGATTTAAAGCAGTGTAACTTCTCTATAGGCAGCAAAGCAAGAACTGGAGCGCCAGCGGCGTTTGGAATGGGAGAGAATTCGTCGCCAAGAACTTCTTAATCAGCGTAACAGAGAACAAGAAGAAATTATCAAGTTGACCTCTAAGAAGAAGAGCCTTAATCTTGAATTAGAAGCTCTGGTAAGGCATACGTTTCACTGCCCAACTTGAAATGAAATGCAATATTTTGAAATGTGCAAATCTTAGCACGTAGACTTAATGGTTTGCTGGGAGTTTTACTCTGCTTTGGATGAGCAATCTAAACCGGGTATTTTTGAGTTCTGTTAAGGAATTGACTGTGTTGTAATCAAACACTTCCTCCACGGATGTATGGAGAAGGGTTTTGTTGCTGTCTGTAGTGTCATTTCTCTGATATCTTTCTAGACGGACAAACATCAGCAAATCTCAGGCAGATTGCAGGATGTTCGAAGCAAGAAGCAGATTCGGAGGACTGAGCTGGAGGCTTTAGATAGAAAATGTGACCAAGGAATTATGGAAGTCAAGCAACTACAACAGCAACTTCAGGTACATCGCTTTCTGTTAAGCTTTTAATTCTCCTTTATTTCCTGTTTTGTGTTTGGGTAATTTTGTGTGCTCCAGCAAGGAGGAACAGTGTATCAGTTTGAATCTGCAAGGCCATCCACATTGCAGAGGTTTTTAGGTTCATCTGTGGTGCTAAATTGATTGCATGCTACAACAAGCTGATAGTTGAATGGAGACAGTAGTCAAAACTTTTTTGAACTGATAATAGTGACTTCTTTTTGTTACTTTCATGGTTCCAGCCTCAGTTTTTGGTGAGGATTTCTGTGTTAGGCTTGAGGCAGTCAATAGAACGGCTTAGATTGGAAGGAACCTTAAAGCCCATCAACTTTCACCCCTCTGCTGTAGGCAGGGTTGCCACCCATCAGCTCAGGCTGCTCAGTGCACCATCCAGCCTGGCCTTGAACGTCTCCAGGGATGGAACAACCACAAATTCTCTGGGCAGCCTGTGCCAATGCCTCACCACTCTCTGACCAAATAATTTCTTTTTAACATTTAACCTAAATCTCACCTTTTTTAGTGTAAAGCCATTTCCCTTCGACCTACTACTATCAAACTCTGTAAAAAGTTGGTCTCTGTACTCATATCCAGGATTGACCCAGCTAAAGTTCAACACCTTGCACTTGGCCTTGTTGAACATCATTAGGTTCTTGTGGGCCTGTTTTTTGAGGCTGTTCAGGTCTCTCTGGATGCCATCCCTTCCTTCTGTTGTGTCAGCTGCTCCACTCAGCTTGGTGTCATCGCACATTTGCTGAGGGTGCACTCTATCTCACTGTCTTTGTTGTTGACAAAGATGTTGAAGAGCACTGGTCCCATGATGGACCCCTGGGGTCACCACTTGTCACTGGCCTCCACCTGGACAAACAACCATTGACAGCAACTCTCTGGTTGCAACCTTCCAGTCTTTATCCACTAATATCCAGCTCTCAAATCCATATTTCTCCAATTAGAGATAAGGATGTAGTGCAGGACCATGTCAGAGGCCTTGCATACGTCAGCAGTTGCCCTTGCTTTGTCCACCAGTGCCATCACTCCATAACAGAAGGCCACCAGGTGGGTCAGGGACGATGTGACCTTGGTGAAGCCCTGCTGGCTGTTTCAGATCACCTCATCTCATGTGTGCCTTAACATGCCTTGCAGGAGAATCTGCTCCAAGATCTTCCCATGCACAGAAGGGAGGCTCACCAACATGTAGTTTCCTAGGTCTTCTTTTCTCCCTTTCTTGAAAGCAGGAGAGATGTTTTCTTTTATGAACTCACTGGGGACTTTGCCTGACAGTCACAACTTTTCAGATATGCTGGGGAGCAGCTTGGCACCCACAGCAGCCAGTTCTTCCAGGACCCTGGGATGCATATTGTTCAGCCCCGTAGACTTGTATGCATTCAGCCTCATGAGAAGGTTTTGGACTTGTTCTGCTCTTACAGTGAGGGGAAGGGGGTTTTGCTCCCTCGTGCCCTGCCTAGACCTTTTGGCTCTTCATCAGACAGCCAGAAATTCTTACTCCCAAAGTTCAGGGTCCTGTCTCTGTTCTTTGCTAGGCCTGTATTCCTCGAGATCATGAACTCAGCCAGGCCATGTTCACTGCAGCCCAGGCTGCCCCCAGCCTTAACCTCTTTCATGATCTCTGCGCTGGTGAGCATCAGATCCAGCAACTCTTCACCTCCGGTTGACCTGTCCAGTATTGGACCAGGAATTTATCCTCAGCAAACTCCAGGAGTCCCCTGGATTGCTTGCTGTTGCTTTCCCAGCAGACATCTGGGTGGTTGAAGTCTTCATCAAGATGAGAATCTGCCAGCACAGCATTCCCTGCAGTTGAAGCAAGAAGGCCTCATGCACAGAATCCCCTTGTTTAGGCAGCCTGTAGTGGACCCTGACCACCAGATGTCCTTCATTGGTCTGGTCCTTGATTTTAACCCACTCAACTTGATGATCAGTTTCTCAGAGGCAGCTCTTTGCAGTCTCTCTTCTTAACTTAGAGGGCAACTCCCCCACCCCTGTCCTGTTCCTTCTAAGAAGCTTGCAGCTCTGTTCTCATGATAGTTTCCACTTTTAATAAATCTGTTAACTTCTTTTCCAACTGTGATAAGAGTTAAAGATTAAGAAGTTATTTGGTGTTAATGTTGTTCACACAGGGAGTATAGAAGTAGTTTTTCCTCCTCCCTGTAGTGCTAACTCGCATCCATGTTTCATTAAAGTGCCTTGGGGTTCTGTTTGAAAATTTTTGCACGTGAATATATACACAGTATTAAAAATGTGTTTTGTTCTCTTCAATATCTACAGGAGTATCAGAATAAGCTGACTTATTTAGTTCCTGAAAAGCAGTTGTTAAGTGAGAGAATTAAAAACGTTCAACTCGACAGCACTCAAAGTAAGTGCCTGCAGATGAGTCCTGGTTCACATTGCTGGGTTTTTGTCATTTCATGTCATGCTGATTAAAAAAATAAGCTGTAGGATACAGTGGGGTCAATCCTGCCTTTGTTTTAATATCTTTTCAGTGAGAGCCACCTAAGAATTGTTGCATCTGTGTTCCTTTGCTTCTACTGTGTTGTGAATAAGAAGCAAACAAGCACATTTTTGTGAGAAACAGAGTTTGCTTAAAACTTCCTTTCTGCAGACTGTGCCATCCTCAGATACAATGATCCTTGTTACACAGTGTGTTTTTGGTAGCATTAAGTCAGGGGGGTTCATTAAAAGTTTACACTGATCTTTGTATCAAAGCACGCTGCAAATTCCTGCCTTCAGAAGCTTGCTATGAACTGATCCAACATGATACAAAAAACCATTTGTAAAGCATTCCATGCTACACGTAATGCCTGTATGTGTCAGGTGGATGTTGGCCCCCTTCTTGGTGCTGTATGCAAACAGGAGGGTAAGTCAAAGGATTTTTGTAAGGAAGGAATTTGGGAATGTATGTATGTATGCTGGGGAGAAAATAACTTGATGAGAACAGAAGGTTGTTTATCTTCTAATGCAGATGCAGGAATTGCTTCAGTGCAGAAGAAGTCTCTAGAAAAGGAAGAATTATGCCAAAGACTTAAGGAACAGTTAGATGCCCTTGAGAAAGAAACTGCTGCTAAGCTTGCTGAAATGGATGCGTTTAACAGCCAGCTGAAGGTACGTGTGTTCTCTGACTGCGTACAGTGAGTATTTCTTCATCCATGTGGAAAGATTGCTGGCGCTTCCAAAAGGTCTTCCCAACTTTCAGTGTCACAAAAGAATGACCAGAAGTCTTGTAGCACAAGAGAAATTCATTTAAAGCTATCCTGATGTACTAAAATATCAACATCTAGCTGATCATTGCTTTGCATGAATCGACTGTTGCTCACTCTCAACCTTTGCTTTGGAATTGAGGTTTCTGAGGCTCTGGAAGGTTCTTTTTTATGGGGTTATACAGTGTTCTTATGGGCTACAATCTTTGAATCGTGGAGTTTTAATTCGTGTTGAAAGGAGCGCGGGGTTTCACAGCACACTGCCCAGGACCCAGTAGCAGACTTAGGTGCTGTTCTGTAAGTCAGCATAGGCTGCTGCTTTGAGGATAAGGTGGTAAATGTTGGCTGCTGGCCCTAAAACTATTTTTGTTTCAGCAGCAACTCTTGATGTACCTAAAAACGCACCCAGTGCTCAGGCATGCATCCACTTAACTTTATTTCCTGGCTCACTCTCAGTGGCAGGGATGTGAACTGTATTCCTACGCAGTGCATTTATGCTGGGCCAACGCGAGGGCTCTGCACTCGCCATCGAAAAGAACAGGGATTGAATTTGTAAGCATTGCTAAGAGTTTCTTTTCTTGGAAGAACAGGCTGCATGAAACATCAGTGACGTGCATTTTGAGTTCCTTGTATGCTTGCATGGCTTGCTGTGTTCAGTGGCTGCATCCACTGTTTAGTCTTCCCTAAAAAATGTTTTCCAAAATACAGTGCAAAGATTAATTAGCTTTTTATCTGCCTTATCTTACAGTGTGACAGTATGGATGATTCTGTTCTTCAGTGCCTTTTGTCTCTGCTAAGCTGTCTCAACAACCTCTTCCTCTTACTTAAGGTTATTTTCTAATCTTTGGCTCTTTTGCTTTTTAATTATTTCGCATTTTTTTCTCTGCTTACCCTTTCTGTTTGGATATGTAACTTATGTTAAAGAAATTTTCCTAAAAGAAAATCAGTAGTTTTGTTCTTTCTGCTAGCTTTTAAATCCTCATGAAGGTACAATTTTGTTTACTTGCTTAGAAAGCCAAACTGCAAAGTGATGATAGCTGTTTTATTTCTTAATGGACTGTGTTTAAGTTGTTTTACTCAACTGTTTCTTTTTAGTTAAGGTAACATCAACAAAAAGAGCACTGTCTAAGATGGAAGCAGTGTCTTCTCCTTGCTTTCCATCTGTTGCTCTCTCTGTGTCTCACCATGTCTAGTTCATGCACCTGAAGCTGGGAATCACAAAATCATAGAATGGTTGGATTGGAAGGGACCTCAAAGATCATGAAGCTCCAACCCCCTGCCACGTGCAGGGCCACCAACCTCCCCATTTCATAGCAGCCCAGGCTGCCCAGGGCCCCATCCAACCTGGCCTTGAACACCTCCAGGGATGGACGGGGCATCCACAGCCTCTCTGGGCAGCTGTTCCAGCACCTCACCACTCTCTGTAAAGAACTTCCCCTGACTTCCAACCTCAATCTTCCCTCCCTCAACTTCAAACCATTTCCCCTTGTCCTGCAGTTATCAACCCTTTCAAAGAGTTGATTCCCCTCCTGTTTGTAGGCTCCCTTTAGATACTGCCAGGCTGCAATGAGGTCACCCACAGCCTTCTTTTCTCCAGGCTGAACAAGCCCAGCTCCCTCAGCCTGTCCTCACAGGGGAGGTGCTCTGGCCCTCAAGTCATGTGTATGGACATGTCAAGGCATGTGAATCCTGAGTTTGAGACTGAAGTGGTGTCAGTGCCCAGGTGATGACATGCCACAGCAACGGCCATGCTTTTAAACCTCCAGATTAACCCTGCACTAAAACTTGCTTCCTGTTTTTCCTCATGCTGCTTTTGTCTGCTGGTGTAAAACATCTGGCTTGGGTTTTTTCCTTCTTAAATCAAAGATATGAGAGTTTGTTTCCATAGCAATCCTCAGTTTCTGTGTAGCATGAGGAAATATTTTCAACTGAATACATTTGGGAAAAAAGCAGTAGCAAGTAGATGTGTTTGAGACTTTCACTGACACAGAAATCTTGTTCATAGGAATTGCACAGTGTTTCTCAGGCACTGTGATTGTGGTTGGCAGTGCTTACTGTGGTGGGAACAGGTCACTGATAACTGCTTTATTTGCATTTCACATCAGATACAGAAAGGCAGAGTGCACCTGTAGCTCAGTGTGTGTCAGTAGGATTCCTCATGGTAGTGTGACGTCTAGCTTTGTACTGTGACAAAATAAGTTCTTGAGGTACTCAAATTATTGCTGGTTTTCTTTCCTGTAAATGTAATTATCCCAAAGATTCACGCTCTGTGTTCTGTGAAAATGTCCATTATCAGAGGGAGGTGAAATAGGAACTGAAGAATGTGCCCCCAAAAGTAGAAGTTCATAGAGGAAGAAGGCAGTGTGAGCGTTAGGCTGTAGCTGCCTGCAGTGGTAAGCCTACTGAGGATGTTCTTAAGCTTTTTGATTGAGTTATGGAACTGATCCCTCCTATTCTGCTCAAATAATTTCAGTCTTCCATTTGCATGCAGCAATTTGTCATTGTGTTTTACAATTGGGAACGGAGAGAAAGACCAGAAACGTTGCAAAGGGGGGGGATGCTGGGGGTGTATTCTCAGCTTTATGGCATTGTGTTGGCTTTCAATTGAAGCCTGCCTCTCCAGCAGTGTGTTTTGTGGTTGTTGAGAGCGTGCTTCGCTGTCGTCTTTGTCCTTACACAGTGTTGTATGGAAACGTGACGCTTCTCCCTGTTTCCTGTCACATTTGCTGTTTCCAGCAGGTGTTTGTCTGAAGGGCGCTTTGAAAGCCTGAGTTCTATGAAAGGACTTGCAAACCTGCCAGCTGTTTTCATACTTCAGTTTGTTTGACTCTGCAGTGACCTTCAAGGACTGTTAAGAACTCAGTGTTACGTTGTTCATTTGTATGGATAAAATAATAGTTTGGTTCACGAAGCGTTACGGTGCTCGGGTGCTTCCTAAAAGATTGGTTTCGTTTCTTATGATGTACTTTATTGTGTTTCCTTATTAGGACCTGAGAGAAAGCTACAGCACACAGCAATTAGCCTTGGAGCAGCTCCATAAGATCAAACAGAGCAAAATAAGAGAGGTAGAGAAAAGAAGAGCCGAACTTGCGCAGAAAAAGCGGCTGGAAGATGAAGCTGCAAGGTACCATGTCTTAAAGTGTGTCAGCATAGCAGTTTTTAGAGCAAAGGAGTGCCAGGGTGTCTTTCAGATACTGATTTTAATACACAGGAAGTATAACTGGCAAAAATACATCCTGGTTTGTTGCCTTGAGAAAAGCAGTTTAAATGGAGTACCACCAATACAAGGCGTTCTGCATTTCCTTTTTCTGATCTATTTTTATCTTTTCGTGGAATTTAGAAACTCAGGTGTGAAGGGCAAATAAACCAAGCAACACTTTTTCTATTAAGATTTTAGCTTCTTTTGTCATAGAATCATAGAATGGCCTGGGTTGCAAAGGCCCACAGTGCTCATCCAGTTCCAACCCCCTGCTGTGTGCAGGTCACCAACCAGCAGCCCAGGCTGCCCAGAGCCACATCCAGCCTGGCCTTGAATGCCTGCAGGGATGGGGCATCCACAGCCTCCTTGGGCAACCTGTTCCAGTGCCTCACCACCCTCTGGGGGAAAAAATTCCTCCTGATATCCAACCTAAACCTCCCTTGTCTCAGTTTAAAACCATTCCCCCTTGTCCTATCACTGTTCATCCTTTAAACAGCCGTTCTCCTCCTGTTCATATGCTCCTTTAAGTACTTGAAGATCACTATGAGGTCTCCCTTAGTCTTCTCTTCTCCAAGCTAAACAAGCCCAGTTTCCTCAGCCTTTCCTCATAGGAGAGCTGCTCCAGCCCTCTGATCATCTTAGTGCCCTCCTCTGGACCTGCTCCAAGAGCTCCATGTCCTTCATGTCCTGCAGGCCCCAGGCCTGGTTGTAGTCCTGCAGATAGATAATTCTCACACATCTGCAATTCCTCATGTTTTCTCCTTGTTTTGTTACCTTTGGAAAGTTCTTAAATATTTCCTTAAAAGCACTTCTTCTTGAGTAGTTGCTAGTTCTTTGTTGTGTATATTCATTCTATTGTGAGATGGTACTTACACAGTAGGAAGGACATTGACTTCTTAATTCATCAAATCATTCAGGTTGGAAAAGACCTCAGATCCCAAATCCAACCCCAACCCACCCCACCAAGCCCACTGCCCACGTCCCTCTGTGCCACATCCCCACATCTCTGGAACGCCTCCAGGGACGATGACCCCACCACCTCCCTGTGCATCTGCCACTGCCTGTGTTAATCTTGGGAGCTCAATAACTTACATTTTTAACTGTAAGTTTGATTTCTGTTTTAGGAAGAGGACCAGGATGTTAAAAAAGGTCTTTGAGCAAATCATTTCAGCAGCCCTGGTTCATGTACGAAGTGCTGGTTTTGCGCTGCTCAGCTTGTACTGAGAAATCAAGCTTTTCAGTTGTTGCCTCTTGCTTTTTCATTCCCAATAAGTGTAGTTTCTCTTGTGTTGCTGACTAAGAAACAGTAGTTTTTGGGCTTTTAAACTTGCTGTCCTGAGATGCCACTGTTTTTCTCCTCTCCTGACTCTCTGCTACCCATTTTATCCTTAGTAGCTGAAGAGTGTGGCAGCAGTGGTGCAATAAACACTGAGTAGGTGCTGAAAACAGAGAGCTAAAGCAACAAAGATAGCATGCAAAGACTATTCCTATGGTTATAACAGAACGTAATTTTACTACTCATCTATTTGGAAATGTTACTTTTCAGTCATGGGGCTTGGAAGCTTGTTGCCATGGTGGGCAGCTTCAAGCCACCCTTATTAAATGAATGCACTCCTGTCTTGCTTGTGTGTAGGCGAGCAGAAGTGTACGAGGAGGCAGGTATCTGTGTGGCAGTCTCCCTGTACTAAGAATTCAAATCCATTTATTACTTACATGTGGGATATCCTGGCACTCTTGTGTAGATAAAGCAGTCTCCTGTGGAAGAGCTGATTGTCCAGTGAGAAAAGTGACTGATATCATAGATTCAGATTTGTTTACAAGTCCACTTGATTATTCTGTGAATAGAATCTCTTTCAATTCTAGATGAATGTTCTCCTACTTCTTTCTCATTTCCTTTTTTAAGGAAAGCAAAAAGGGAGAAGGAGAACCGGTGGCAGGAAAATATCCGAAGGGAAGAAGAGGAGAAGAAGAAGCGATTAGAGGAGGAGAGAATGCAGGAAAAGGTTCAGGAAAAGCTTCATGAAGAGGAGGAGAAAAATAAGCAAGCTGGGATCTTGAGAGAAACAGAGCAACGGCAGAGACAACTGGAGGAAGAGAAAAGAAGGCAAGAACAAATTGCAAAAGAAGCTGAGGAGAGGCGTAAGCAGAATGAAGAAATAAAAAAGATAAAAGAAGCCACCACTTCTCACGAGGCAGAGAAATGTGCTGCTAAATTAAACATAAGTGAGAAGTTTGGAGATCTGTTGAAACCAACAGAGGGTAAAAGTCTTAAGCCACCCTGGACCAATGAAGGTAATCTTAGTTAGATTGTTGCCTTGGTGGTTCTTGTTTTCCTAAGTCATTTTTCATTCTTTAGGTGCATTACTGTGACACCGTGGCAGACTTACTGCCTCGTGCTATAAGCAAAACACAATGTTCCATGTCTTTAGTTAGCTGTAAATCATCCTATTGATCCAGTTTGTCTTCATCAGTTTCTCAGTGGTAATGAGAAGATGGTTGGACTGGGTGATCGTTTCCAACCTTGTGATTCTATGATTTGCTCTGTTTTTGCCACCAATGGCCCCAATGGCAAATCTTCCAATGATTGTGGCTAACAAAGTGTAGGTGTTGTTGGAAGCAGAAGTACTGTAGCTTTTTTGTGAGGCCTGATCTCTCTGTCATTAAAGCAGAAGGCTAACATGGAGCTTTGTCAGGCGATGAGTGGATGCACAGGTAAACCTCAGTGATTTGTTAACACTGAAATCTGCTGCTTTTTGCACCACTCAGTGCCTCCGAGTAACAAAAAAAGAACTGAAGTCAACCTGACTTTCTCTGTAGATATTCAGAAATCCTTGTTTAACAATATTTTCCCAGAAGGTGACTTTACTGCAACTCAGCTTTCTTTAGTTCTTGCCAGTTCTCATTAGCCAGTTTAATTAACTGAGTTAAGCGAGAACCAACTGGGGTGCTGAAAGATAGAATCATAGAATGGCCTGGGTTGAAAAGGACTGCAGTGATCATTAGTTTCAACCTCCCTGCTATGTGCAGGGTCACCAACCAGCAGACCAGGCTGCCCAGAGCCACATCCAGCCTGGCCTTGAATGATGATGAGTTTTCTTATCATTTCAGGCAACGCCATCAGTGCTTCAGAATCCAGGAATTCTGTTGCCTTTGTGAATTACAGAGCTTTGTATCCGTTTGAGGCGAGGAATCATGATGAGATGAGCTTTAATACTGGAGATATAATTCAGGTGAGATTTGCCATTTGTACTTAACTCTTCACAAAACAGTTCTCTTCTGACCCTCAGAGGAAACAAAAGTGGTTTGTGTTGTTTTGGCTTCCTTTTCAGACACAATTAGCTGTTGAACTGCAGGTGTCTTATTTTAGAAATACACCAGCAGCCACCACCTCCTCTTCTACCGCCAACCTCAACTAAGCTGACTGGCTGCTGGGATTTGATTAGCTGCTAATTTTAGCCTGTTTTTTCTTCCTCTGCCTTTGATGATAGGCAGCACGATGGAGACCTCCATACTGACATGGGTGTGTAGCACAAATGCTCCACGCTTAATCATTACAGTATACAAGAAAATTTTTGGCTGCCTTGTGAATGAAGTTATTGGAGGCTCAGCACATTTTTGTCTTTTATTAAAAAATTAAGATCACTGAGAAATATTTGGGCTTCCTCATTTAAGAGCAGCACAACTCTTAAAACTGCACCAGTTTTCATGTGCTGCTTGGCTGGCCAGCCACTGATTCTTGGCCATGCAGTCGAAATTGCAACACAACACAGCATAACATTGGCAAGCCAGAATTGCTCCTGGTGTCGTCTGTGGAACCTCAGTGTTGTGTGGCTTTGGGCCCCATTTGAAGGCAACACCTGAGGCTGTCCCTGCTTACCTCCACGAGTCACTGAGTTGGTCTGTTACCTGGGGAGCTGCTGGAGACACAGCACAGCTGCATCACTGCCGGCGTGTAATCAGCTCAACTCTGGGAGGAGACAGAATTGCAAATGCTGCCCCTGCGAGCGCTGCTCGTGCTGTTTGGTTTACCAGTGGGAGCTGACATATGATAGATACCCTGTTGTTTCACACTGCAAATTATGTTTTCTTTGTATTTTTATCCTCCTGTCCGTAGGTTGATGAAAAAAATGTTGGAGAGCCTGGCTGGCTTTATGGGAGCTTCCAAGGACGTATTGGTTGGTTTCCGTGCAATTATGTGGAAAGAATACCAGAAGGAGAAAAAGCTTTGTCTCCAAAGAAGGCCTTACTTCCTCCTACAGTATCTTTATCTACTACCTCAGCTACTTCAGAGTGAGTTTTGTTATATTTGTGTTCAGATTGCTTGTTCAGAGTTAGGACAATGTGCTGCGTGGTGTCAGTCAGTGATATTTTAAAAGAAGAGAACTTACTGAAAAACCTATTGGAAAGTCACAGCTTGCATATTTTAAGTATTTGATAGGCTTTTTTTTCATTGTGTAGAATATGGAACGGCCTGGGTTGCAAAGGAGCACAATGCTCATCTGGTTCCAACCCCTGCCACATGCAGGGTTGCCAACCAGCAGACCAGGCTGCCCAGAGCCACATCCAGCCTGGCCTTGAATGCCTGCAGGGATGGGGCATCCACAACTGTAGTATTACTTGTTTGTATCTATGTTTAAAAAAAAAGAAGTGATTCTACGTGAAGTGCTTTAAAAATCAAAAGTGCTGTGTGTTTATTACGTCTGTCTTCAATCTGCAGACCACTTTCACCAAGCAGATCTGTAGAAGAGTCAGATTACCAGAACGTACATTTCTCCAGCCTGAACGTTAATGCAGCGTGGCAACAGAAGTCAGCTTTTACCCGCACTGTGTCCCCTGGATCTGTGTCACCCATTCATGGACAGGTACGTTGTGTGTTGTGACATAATTCCACCCATCCACCGAGTGGGGACCAAGAGGACACGTGCCGTGCGTTTCTGAATTAGGATAGTTTCACCTGTAGTTAAACACACAAGATGTTTGTGAGATAGGGAACAGTGGAGATGATTTCTTAGTCACCTCTGTAAAACATTGACCAGACAAACAAAAAACACCACAGTTAGGAATGAACTTGCTTGGACTGCAATAACTGATGCAGCAGTGCACGTTTAACACCCACACCAGTGAGGGTGAGTGCGAACACATCTCTGCTTCTGTCTTACCAGGGGCAGCCCGTCGAGAACTTGAAAGCACAAGCACTTTGCTCTTGGACTGCAAAAAAAGATAACCACTTGAACTTCTCCAAAAATGATATCATTTCTGTCCTGGAGCAGCAGGAAAACTGGTGGTTTGGAGAGGTGCATGGAGGAAGGGGTTGGTTTCCCAAGTCTTATGTCAAGCTCTTACCTGGAAGTGAGAAGAAGGAGGAGTAAGTGTAACTTTGGCTAGTATTTTATTTGGCAGTTTGCAGAGAGAGGTGTTCCAGGGTGCAAAATGATTGCAGTGCAGATCCTGAATGCTCTTTGATTACACTGATTTACACTTTTATTATTTCATTCTTGGAAGCCAATTCATGTTGGGCTCACTGCTGTGTAAATAAACAGCCTTACAAGGTGAGTGCTGTGAAAAGTCAGCGGCGGCTGATGATTCATCAGGGTATTTACTGAAGTCTTGTTAATGCTGGGGTGGCTGCACCATTGTGTGTGAATTGTTCTCATCGTGTTATGATGAAAGTTCTTAGAAATACTTCAGAATGAGAGAATTTGGGCAAAAATCTTTATGGATGTGAACAATTGGTAAATAATACTTTCTAGTTTTATAGTATGACATCGATCTTTGGAGTGTGGTGTGCTCTTGGTTGCTGCTCAGGTCTTAAAACCAGTGATATCTGTCACCTTTTTAAAAGTGGAGGGAACTTTTGTAATGAAAAATAGCAACTTGGAGACACTCAAGCGAGCTTAGGCTCATCCTAATAGAGAGATGTGTTGGTCAGCATTTTGATTATTCAAACGTCCTTTTTAATTTCTGCAGACCAGAAGCTGTTTATGCAGCAGTAAAGAAGAAGTCCAGTGCACAGCTCTACCCAGCGGGAGAAGGTAGGAGTGAATAACAGTGTGTGCTGGAGCTGAAATATGTGAGACATGTCTGAGCCATTCCTGTAGTGCTTGTCCAGAAAATACAGTGCAAATGCTGAGCTATTGTTAGGAGAATCCAAAAATGAGAACTTCAGTAATATTTGTAATTAATTCAGGTTGAGCGTAGCCATCTTGGTTTTGTTTGGTTGGGTTTGATTTTGTTTGATTGCTTGTGTTGTTTGGTTTTTTTTGCTTCCTACAATTGGGTGTAAGTTCCCCAGGCTTCTGCTTATCTGCAGTCTGTTCCAAGTGTGGTAACTCACTGCCAAATTCATATCTGTAAAACGTTGTGTATCCTTAAGTCAGAGGTGTGAGCACAAGGCAAGCTGTGATAGCAGTCTGTAAGGTAGGGTTTGCTTCACAGGCTTGCTAGGACATTCAGGGCAGGTTTAGGTTGGATCTTAGGAGGAAGTTTTTCCCCCAGAGGGTGGTGAGGCACTGGAACAGGTTGCCCAAGGAGGCTGTGGATGCCCCATCCCTGCAGGCATTCAAGGCCAGGCTGGATGTGGCTCTGGGCAGCCTGGGCTGCTGGTTGGTGACCTGCACACAGCAGCGGGTTGGAACTGGATGAGCACTGTGGGCCTTTGCAACCCAGGCCATTCTATGGTTCTGTGATGTGATCCACACTATGGACACCACGAAGGGTGCTGACATCCAAGATGTTTGTGTCTGATGGACTTTTATCCTCGTATCTGAAACTGTTCTCTCCACCTCTATGTGCTGTTTGTGCAGAGTACGTTGCACTGTATTCCTATTCAAGCTCTGAGCCTGGAGACTTGACTTTCACTGAAGGTGAGGAAATCCTGGTGACCCAGAAAGAAGGGGAATGGTGGACAGGGAGCATTGATGACAGAACTGGGATCTTCCCCTCCAATTATGTCAGACCAAAGGATCAAGAAGTGAGTTCTTACTTCAAGTCTTGTGTAACTCGTGATGCTTTTTTCTGTTTTAGTGTATTTCTGTTCTTGATACCTGTTACTGATACGCTGATGTTAAGCAGAGATTAAATTGCCTGACAGGGAAGAGGATCCTAGGGGACTGGAGTCCCAGATTGCTCTAACCACAGTGTCCCATTGCTGCTCTCACAGCAGGATCTTGGTGTTTTGTTAAATTAGGGCTCAGAGTTGAAACCTCCATCTACGTGGCACATGCTTAAAAAGAGCGTAAATAAACTCCACTGGATTTATTAAACATGAAAAGAATATTGTTGTGTCTTTGTTACAGGGTTCTAGTAATGCTGGCAAAACTGGAACAATAAATAAGAAACCTGGTGAGTGTGTTACAACTTTTCACCATTTTGGACTGTGTTTTAAGTGATTAATAAGGCATGTGTGTTCATAGCAGTGTTCTAAGGTCTGCCAGTGTGCTTGCTTACAAGAGAAATAGCAGCTTCTTTCTTTGGAAGTAGCCCTTATCGTAGTGAAAGTATAACAAAGACAATTCATATGCTTTCTTTTCAGAAATTGCTCAGGTGACTACTGCTTATGCTGCATCAGGAAGTGAACAGCTTAGTCTTGCGCCTGGGCAGCTCATACTTATCCTGAAGAAAAATGCTAGTGGATGGTGGCAAGGAGAGCTGCAGGTGAGTGATTGGAGGAACAGTCATTGTGGCTTGATGAGCAGCAGTGAGGGGTTGTTTGGTTCAATTTGAGATGAGACACTGAGTAGAGCGCTCTGAAAGCTGGTTGGAAAGTGGCAGTACCTCATTTGAGACTCTTTAATTGATGTGTAAGTGGAATTTTCTTAGAGCAGATATATAACCCTACTGTGAAATGGTGCACTGAAATAATTAGCTGTACTTAAAACCTTTCAATGTACAGATTTGTGAGAGCATATTAAGATGCAGCTTTATTTGAGTTTGGTTGTTTCATCCTTTAGCCAGATCTTAGCTTCTGAGATGCTTAGTGCTTAATTGCTGTTGAAAGACCAACTTTGTTTTCCATAGGCAGAGCTGTGTGATGCATCTGTTGTGTTTTTCCAATCCTTATGCTGTTTCGTTTCTTGACTGTGTAATAACCATTTCTACAGGCAAGAGGGAAAAAGAGGCAGAAAGGATGGTTCCCTGCCAGCCATGTGAAGTTACTGGGTCCGAGCAGTGAGCGAACCACATCTGCTGCCCCCTCAGGTGAAAAAATGGTTTTATTTGTATTTCATTTCATTTCTGTTGTTGAACTGCTTGGATTGTTCACATACTAATTTGAATTAACGCTGTGTTTAATGGCTTTATCTTGCTGTGCTTTGCTGTAGAAGGTGAAGTCCTAGTCGGAATCTGAGTCTTTTGGCATATGTGTCCTTCAGATTTAATCTCTGTCCACGAAAGGGAAAATCTCCCATGTGTTTACAGCGATCCTGCATGGGGTCCCTGCCCCAGCCTATACTATTTGTAAGGCTCTTTAATTTTCCTGCCTGCATTGCAGAACCAAACTCAGTTCATTTGTAAACTCCTTCTTGCCAAACTAGCAAAAACCCTACAGAAAACAAGCAGTCATTGGCAGGCACCTTGGAATTCCATGCAGTGCTCTTTCTAAGAAGGAATCTGAGCTGCACATCCCACAGTGTATTTTTCATTTCGATACCTGAGTACAAAATGAGATGATTTCACAGAAGAGTAGCTTTTCTGGTTGTGTGGAGCTCCCCACAGCCATGCTTTGGTTGTACCTGGTCGTCTGGACAAGTCTTCCCTTTGCTGGAACTTGCAGCACATGATGAGCAGTGCACGCTTCCTTTGCTGCATTTTTCTTACAAGTAGAATCTGCAAGGTGACCAAACTCACTTTCTGTGCTGAGCCAAGGGAAGACAGAAGTAAACTTGATTCCTTAGCAAGCTGTGATCCTGTCTGGTGTTTTTCTTCTGTAGCAGTTCATGTGAAATTGTTGTTTCTTTCCTGTGTCTGTGCAAAATACTGAAAAACTGCCTTACTGTTTTGTGTCACAGCATCCTGCTAACTTTGCTTTTTCTTCATAGTGTGTCAAGTAATAGCAATGTATGATTACATGGCAAACAATGAAGACGAGCTCAGCTTCTCCAAAGGGCAGCTTATTAACGTGCTGAGCAAAGATGATGCTGACTGGTGGCAAGGAGAACTCAGTGGTGTGACAGGTCTCTTCCCTTCCAACTACGTGAAGATGACCACAGATTCTGACCCAAGTCAGCAGTGTAAGCAACAATTTTATTAAAAACCATTTTGTTTCTTTCTTTCAAAAGTGCATTATTGTTCTTTTGCTTTGAACTTGGAATTTTGAGTTCCAAGCGTCAACTGAAGTTATTGGGATTTTAAATACTCCTTTCTTTAAATACTTTTCTTTGGAACTCTGTACTTGAAATACTTCTCTATTTAACCTGCAGCTAACCATCAGATCACCAACAGCCAAAGTGCAGTAGTGAGAGTGTGAGGGTGAGCTAGGGCAATACATCTGGGGGGTGTCCACCTAAAAGAGAGGCTGGCGTACAGATATCTGGTGTTTGATAGGTGGTGCTGACTGGAAGCCAGTACAAGAGCATTATGCTTCATTGCAGGGCTTCCACAAGTTTCATAAACCATGAAAAAAGTGTCTGCTGTAGTCTTCTTTAACTTAAATTTAACAGTTTGTCAATTCAGTAAAAGTAATCACAAAGGATTTAAGAAAAAAGAAAATTCTAGCATTAACAAGTGAAGTAATCTGTGGTAGATGTGTCAGTCCTGGCTCACAACTGCTCCTGTCCAGCTCTGATAAATGAGGTGTATGTATCAAAGCAACGTTAAGCTGAAAATCAGCAGCAGCAGCCTGAGACCTGAATGCCAGGATATTCGCCTGTCTGAAGGTCAGGTGTTTTCCTGGTTGTTTTGTTGGGTTTTTTTTTTTTGCACATAAATATAGGAAATGTTTCTGGTCCCCCCCCTCTCCCCCTCCTCTTGGTTTTTTAGTTACCGTTTCTTTTGTCAGCTTTCCTCAGAGAAAATTACCACTGCTCTTACTCCTCCTTCAGCTTTTCATTCTTGGCACTTGATTTAAATCAACCTTTCATCAGCCCATGGCATTTGTGGCTTTGGGAGCCCGTTAGGGTTTGGGTAGTTGATGGGAAAGTTGGCCCTTTCACTTAGCAAGTCACATCCCTTCACTTGCTGTTTTTTCGCCAGGCATCATTTGTATTTTTTGCAGTACAAAGGCATACATCTGGAATTGTGGTTGATGTATATCCTGAAAAGCCTGTGGCTCTGTGGGAGCAGCTTGCACTTGAGATTTGATGAACTTAGTTTGGTTGTTAGAATTCCCAAATGTGGTGACAGAGGTCCAGCTTGGGTTGGAAAGCTTGGCTTGTCCACTCAGAAGCTTCGTATCTGGCCGAAGTGCCCCATGTGTAGTTAAATCACATCTGTGCTAACGTTGCAGGTAACACATTTTTATTTTATGCACTGACTGTGACTTTGGTGTCAACAACTGCTGTGTTTAGATTGAAACTACTTTTGATTGAGCTTATCTAAAAGGTTGATATTTCCTTTGGAAATATTCTGTTTGCATACAGTTTGGACAAAATAGCATAGAGTACAGGCCATGAAATTGAGGTTCTGGCTGAGGTTTTCCCCCAGAGGGTGGTGAGGCACTGGAACAGGTTGCCCAAGGAGGCTGTGGATGCCCCATCCCTGCAGGCATTCAAGGCCAGGCTGGATGTGGCTCTGGGCAGCCTGGGCTGCTGGTTGGTGACCTGCACACAGCAGGGGGTTGGAAGTGGATGAGCACTGTGCTCCTTTTTAACCCAGGCCATCCTATGATTAAACACTCCTGAATTTTTCAAAAATGAGAAAGATCTTAGCTTATCACACTGGTGACTTGTGTAGCTGGATGTGATGAGTGCAGGATGGTTACATATAACATGAATTTTCAACAAAAGCAATCCTGAGATCAAACTGCAATTGGAAACATTTGATAGGTACCGTTTGATGTGATAATCTTTTTCATTGTTTGCTGGTAGATGATTAAGCTGTCTTGATTCAGCCTTTGGATTGTGGCTGTGTGAAGAGAGTTGTCCTTTGAGATGGCACTGGCAGCGCCAGCCAGCAGCAGTCAGCAGAGAGCAGGTGTCATCCCTACTTGGGCAGAGTGAATATTGCAGTGCATCTGTTTACAGACACGAGTTTCTCCCACTATCTCTCCTGGCCAGTTGAATGTATTTGAATGGGAACAAATTGGGTTTACTCACAGAGGTTTGAGGCTTGTGATAATTCTGCTTTCCACTCAAATTTAAGCTCTGTTATACAGAACACCTTTGTACCCAGTCTTTCCTGGGGCTTACTGGTTATCCTGTGGTGCAGACCTCCCTAACAAGGTTCCCTTGGTTCACCTCTTGAGCTGTGTCAGCAGCTCTCTGCACAGAAGAAGCTGTGCTGACAAGGATGACTTCTTGTTGGCATGCATTCTGCCATAGGGCTCTGCAAGGAAAAGAACAATTCAGGGTGCCATAGCTCTGCCAGCAGCTCTTACTGCAACCCAGACCTTGGTCACTGCAGAACAGAAAATACTGAGTCATGCTCTCAGTGATCTTGGTGTTTGTGAGAGTTGCTCATGTTTAAATAATGTTTGATTAGCCCTTGTTCTCGTGTCTGTCCCAAATCATCCACATAAAGAAGATGTGCAGGAGGCTTTAAAGCATAAAGAGCTGTATATTTACCTAAAGGGATGTGTGTTACCTTCTGTTCTCTGAGTGCTCCCCCATCCATCCAGGGTGAGATCTTGTGGCACGGCTGGTATCTCCATGGTGCAGGCCTGCCACGTGTTCTGGCATGCATAGGGCAGCAGTGTGAATTTCCTGGATATTTTTAGGACCACTACTGGATCAACCCAGTTTCCCCCCTTCCCCAGAACCCTACTTCTACACGTGACATATTGGAGAGATGAGCTGAGTCCTGTCCTTTCAATAGGAGCTGCCTTTCCAGAAGTTTCTCTGTGCGTGAAAGTTCCTAATTCCTGTGCACCATCATCTGATCAGTGAAGCTGACCCATTCTCAAGGATGTTCATAGAGCTAAGTTCTGCACTGACGTGCTTGGGGTGGGTGCATTTCAGTGCCTGTGTGTGGACAGCACACATCAAAACACTCAGTTACTGCCAAGGAACTTCTCATTTTGGTTAGGCAGTAAGAGCTCACGGAATCAGTGGCTTTGAAGCATTGCATGCCACAGATGTGAGTGCGCTTTCTAACGTGTGAAGATTCCAAGACATTCTGAGGTTTTGTTGGACTGAATATTTTCCCCCTTTACCTGGAAGCAAATGTGAAATCAGTCCCCATTGGCACGTTGTCACTCTGTGTGTCTAAAAAGACGTGGTGAATCTCAGTCAGGTCTTATCAAGCTTCCATATCTGGGCTGTGGGTGGAGGAGAGCCCATAAATCCAGGGCATACATCTGCCTTTACCCTGACATAGCAGTGCCTGCTCTAGATCTCACAGCCTTGGGTTTCTGATGGGAATATTGAATGATGTGGATAAATACCAAAGACATGATTTTGTCATTTCAGCCTTGGAACAGAGTAGAGCAGGTTGATTTGTGTGTGCCAGTAGGAATCAATTGCAGTGAAGTTTTTCATTACAAGTCTACACTCTGCTTACTTAATGTCTCATCACAAGGTTTTTTTTGGGGGAGGAATCCTGGCTTTGTTGAAGTCTCAGGGAATTTTGCCTTTTACAAGGAGCCTGGGGCTTGACTTGGTGCGTTAAAGTCTGTGTAACAGAAGGCTTCCTTGGGAAGAAACTTTCTCCAGTTGAGTCACTGCAGCGTGTCTCTGAGTCAGCGATGACTGCCACAGCTGCTCAGTGCTGTGTGTGCTCATAACTTGCAGCTTTACAGAGTAGAAGTGCATGATGTCTGTTTGCAGAAAGCTGTGTTGGTCGTTCCTTTCCAACCTTTTTGGTGTTGTTCTGTCTGTCCGTAGAACTCATATGTTTCACTCTTCGAATTTATGTTCATTTTATCCTTCTTTTTTTGTTTGTTTGTTTTTTTTTAGGACCCAATGTTGTCTTCCAGTGTGAAAGCACCCCAGAGACCCACTATCCGAGTTTGACTGTAGCGTGGAGGCAGGGTGGCCAGCCCTGCTCACGTATCTCTGAAACAATCCTTTTGCTCCGCTTGAATGCTAGATCCAGTCAAGAAATTAGGTTATCCTGGGTTTTCTTATCTACAGTTACCGTTGATTTGTAAAAGAAAGGATAGTGGGTCTTTGTGTGGCTTTCACTGCTGCTCATTCTCGTTTCCTTTAGCATTTTTCTTTGGCGTTGATAATCCTCGATCATTAGCATGCATATCCAGTTATCGTTTGCATGGTGGGATTGCAGGCACACAAAGACCCACTATTTGCACAGTTTATCTGCGCTGTTTCGAATGGGGAGTTGTGTTCTTTTGATGTTGTAATGTACATACTTTGCAGAATTAAAATGTTTGCTGATTGCTGTTTTAATTTACTTGATTTAATCTCCTACGTATTGAGCTTTTGAAATTGACAGCCTGTAGGGCTCACCCAGAAAACAAACCCTTCCTGTTTCAGCTGCTGGTGGTCACTGTGATTACAAATATGCCGCACAGTCCGAGGCTGAGGTCTGTTGGGTCTGGGGCAGTCGTGCCTCCAAATCACCTTTTTATCGAGGAAAAAGATACTAAGCATCGAATGGAAGATCTGTATTTGTCTTCTTCTTTCACAGTAGCTCTGTGGCAGGAATTCAGGTTGTTTTGGCTCGATGTGCCCTATCCATAACCAACGTCCTTGAAGTGTTTTATTCTGACAGCTCACTTTCAGTTTTGGCCAACAGCAAATTGTAGCGGTCAGTAAGTGCTTAAACAGCCTCTGTGCTACCAGCCCCCTCCTGCCTAACACAAAGGCAGCCCTGGCAAAGAGGTGCTGGTGGAAAAGGAACACTAAAAGACACCTGGAGCTGAAGGCAGAGAATCTGGGTTTAAGGCAGAGGGCACAGTTACACTGTGCTACTGCTGTCAATGAGGGAAGGAGCAGAATAGAAGGCTGTAACCTTGATGCCCCTCTGGATGAAAGGAGTCAGCAGCAGCAGGCTGCTTGTCTGAGGACTAGTTCACACTACATCACTAGTGTGATCCCGTAGGAGCAGGAGAGATGTAGGTAATTTAATTAATCTATTTAATTTAGTTGGTTTCTGAACTCGGTAACGAAACAGCAAAGGTCACTTATGCAATCAGAGATGTTTACAAGCCACCCTGTGTTTACTGCACGTCTGTGAATGTTGTGAAGGTACGATCAGGAAAAGGTTGGTCAGACTGCAGAGATGTAACAGCCTTTCTGCAGCACCTCTGTAGAAAGAGTGTTATGTAATGCATTCAATATGCTTTATCCAATAGTATGGATGTGCCCTTTAGGTCAGAGGTATTTCTTTTGTGCAATATTGACCACAGCAATGTGCCTACAGAAACCTACAAATGGATTTTTACTCTGGATGTATTTTGTCTCAACCAGTATTTTGCTATGGAACGAGATCATGTTGCTGTAGGCAGATGACGTGCTCAGTAATTTCTCCAGTGTTCTGCCTGACTTGATTTCCTTTTGAAGCTACGTTTTTCAGTATTTCTGCTAGAAGATGCTGAGTGGTATCAAGCAGTCCCTCCCTGTGGTCTAAAAATCAGGTGATCTTAGGAATTGCCCCATGTCCACAAGGCAGTGCTCGCCTGTGGGATCGGAGCTCAGCTGACTTCCTGACGTTCAGTGATTTCCTTAAGGGCCAAACTGCTGCTAATTCGGGATGGGGGGAAGGAAAATAACCTTACATCCCATCTGGAGTGATGCAGGAAAAGTAGCATTATAGCATTGGGCAAAAGCAGCTGGCCTTGCACCTGTCCTTGGGTGGTGCAGTTGGGGTGTATGAGGACCATCTCACACAAACAGCCCTACGTTTGGATGTGTAGGTGATAATAACCATTGAAACAGCTGCCCCTCTGCTTAAACTGATGGGTATTGTGATGAAGCACTGGGGGCTTTCACAGCTTCTCCTGACGTTTCAGTATTACCTGAGTACAGATCTTCTAACTAATAATATTGATAACGGTATGATTTACAATGCTGATTGGAAAAACCTCAGCCCCTGCCCTTGTGCACATCAGGCACAGTCACCTCTCTCTGTTCTCCTGTCACGTGCTGGCACAGAAAGAGCTGTACACATATACAAGGTTATCAGTAAGAAAGGCTGTGCCAAGGGTGTATTAAAGGGCAGATTTTAAAACAAGGTGTAGCTGTAGAAGCTGTATTAATCTGGGAGAAGAACGTTGGTCTTGGAGCAGGTGAGGACAGGGTGAAAACAAGGGATACCTGCTGAACTGCCGATCCCCTCTCTGGCCCTGAGAGTCCAAATGCTTCTCAGAGCAACGAGGCATTAACAGTTAAATCTGAAGCCATCCAAGAGGGCAGAAGGTGGCATTGCCTATAGCGCAGTACTTGCTTAGTACTGTTTTCTATGAAAATGGGGGCTGCTGTGTAACTGGGTGTCCTACAGCCAATATTTATTCCATCCCAACGCTTTGTCAGATTGTATCCCTTTGTGATGTTTCTGAGTGGGGCTCATCACCTGTGCATAGATCTGCTCGTAGGAACGCTGGCAAACTGTGCCCTGCAGTGACGTTGGGAGCTGCTGTGGGGCAATGCTGCTTCCATGTAATGAACCAATAAACTGCTGCTGAACGGTGTGTGCTGCCTTAAAATATCTTCTGTTGTTCTCTTTGAACTGGAGTATTAACGTATGAGGATGACTGGACATGCAAATGCAGGCTGTGCTTAGCATGAGGCAATTGTTCATCTTTGGGTTGAAACGCAGTTGTAAGATAACTATGCAAATGTACTTTATTAAAGGGACACATAAAAGGACCCAGCTTGTCTGTTGTGGTTTTTTGTTCACCTGGGGACATCTTTTCCAATTTGAACAGCTGGGTACATGTGTTATGCTGCCTGGGTATGGGATGCAGTGACTGAGTCTTGCTTTTCACCTCTTGCAAGCTGAATCACAAATTGCTGCTGTTGTGGTGGAAACGCAGACTGCACTCAGCATTTAGGGGAGCCTGGGCAAAATTCTGATGGTGTTTTCCAGAGCCTGATGAAAACTGACCTTTTCATGGGCTGCAGGAGGCACGGAGGCGTCTGACCCCGCAGGCATGGCAGGAGGACACTGCTGTGGTGTGCCAGCAGGGGTGGGTGCTGTTCAACACCATCCGTCTGCGCTCAGCATGGAATGAAGGAACTGCTTAATGCTGGTCCGTGGCACTTGTGACAAGGTGTGTTTTTCTGTGGTAGCCCAGGAGAAGAAGATAATATAGACACACACAGAAAGGACAAACCAACCAACAGAGCACACTACTCAGCACACCCCAAACCCAAACAAACCTACAGCCCTAAACAGACCAAACTTCTTACATGTGCAGTTTATGCATAGACCACCTCTGCCACTAGGTGGTCTTCAGTGTTGGGCTTGCTTAGATCTAGCTTGATCCTTTGGGGAAAGTGCTGGAGCACTGCGTGCGGCTTGAGGTGTCTTTCCAGAGTTGTCACTTTCTAAATGGGTGTTTATGTTGTTGGCTGTATGGGGAAGTCCATGGGAATTAGGCAAAGCATGTAGTGCCTGAGCAGATTTCCTTCAAAAAGTGTCCTCGTTCCCCTAGAATTTATCTCAAGTCCTAAATATGTCAGTAGTGCACTGCTGTGTGGTTAGGGCCTGTGACTCAAAGGTGCCAGGCTCACAGCAGCTCTGTAGATATCGTGCTCAGGAGGGAGCAAGGCAAACCTTGTTTCTCGGACAGCCTGGCGTTGCTTTGCTGTTGCAAGCCAGAAACCAAAGCAACAGCTCTCTGCTGCCAGGCAAGGGCTCCTGGCTGTTAAACTAGCAGGAAAGTCCCAGTTCATTTCCTGGCAGGGTTGTGAGCTGGAGGTAAGCTGAGTGCCAGAGCTGGCGCAGGGAGAGGGGCAGCGGGAATGTGGGAGGAGAATGGGCCGAGATGCAGGTTCACCATTCTGTGCCAGGGAGCCAGCAGGTTATTGTGGCTGCTGTAGAAAACACTGGCAAGTATGTTAAGGTGATCTGTTCTCCCTTTGCTTTTCTTCCCTTCAGATACCAGAGCCTATGCAGGCCTTCTAAAGTCAGACAAATGGATTCCACACTATGTTTTCATGGTGGTATCATCAGACCCATCCCAACTCAGACCTTTTTGAGCAGTGATGATTAAAATGTAAACTAGTACTCATCCACTGATCCCAAAAGCCATGACAGTCCAAGTGCAGGGTTACTGCACAGCCATCTGAGTCAGCTGCTGTTTTGTGTCTGGCAATAAGCTTTATAAATCATACCTATCCTTGGTGTGTATGAAATGTGTGTTTGCCTCCCAGAGTTTGTTTCAACTTGACATATATGGAACAAGACAGACACAAATGCAAGAGTACGTGTGTTTCTAACAGTTATGATGCAAGCAGACAGCGACAGGAGCTTCAGTACTTTGCTGTCCCTTGTTGGAGGGCTGCACGTTGCAATAGAAAAAAGAAGCACTTTGTCAAAGCTGAGATCTGAGGTCTAAGTGTGGGCAAAGTACAGTTACTGTACTTTGTACTGCACTGTACTGTCCCAGAATCCAGTGTGTCAGAAACCAGCTGGGCTTAAATCCAGCTATGTACATGAATGTCACTAGAACAGAAGCAGCACACACTGACCAAAGTCAATCTTGATGGATTATGCAATACAGACTTCATAGGAATCACACCAGGCTAAAATTTCACTCCTTTTTTTCTTCTAATTTTATCCTCATATAACTTTGGAAGCAACTAAGGCTCGAAGCAGCATTCTTTGCAGCTGGAAGAGCTGCAAACCCAGAGCTCTTTGTATGAAGCAATATTTATTCTTGTTAGAAAGCTTAAAGTTCAAGATCCTTCTGGATGCACGCAGCAGAACTGAAAAGCCCTCATTTTACGTCTGGCTGTTGTCTTTTCTGGTGTAGATTTTATCAAAATTGGATGCAGCTGCATCAAGTGATCGATGTATACTCTTAAATAAACTGTAATTGTTTCTTCTTTCTTCCTTGCTCCCTTGCAGTGCTCTGCTAGCACGTGATGGCCAACAGGTGGATCAGAGTTGCACTTTATGTACCCTCCTTGACCCATCTAAACATATTTACTGCTTGTTTTTGCCACTTTTTGTTTGGTTACTAAACCTCAAACACTGCTGGTCATGTTTACTAACACAGATAATGAGGAGAAAAAGTGTGAAACTGTAGAGTCTGCATGTTCCCTTAGAGAACTGGATTTGTGTCATTGAATGTTCTCTGTGTCCTCGTGCATGGTTTGGATTATTTGTACTCAGTGCATCAGAATAACTCAATGTATCTCTGGCTCATTTGGTTTCTAAACTAGAAAACAACTTACTTAAAACTATGCATCACAACTTTGCAAATATATCCTGGTGGTTTGTATAATAAATTAATAGCCGAGGCAGATTACTTGAGAAGCTGGGTCAAGATTAAAGGTGCCGTGCTGTAAATCAGCACCAGACACGTTCTAGATGACTTTGTCTCACAGCAGACATTGTGTAAGGTAAGAGGAAAACACGGCTTTGAAAGCGTTGCAGAAAAGAAGAGACATAGGAAGTTACAGGAAGTCAGGAATCCTTATTCTGCATCACAGCATGGGAAGAAGGGATGCTCAAAGGAGTGAAAAGGTGGCAGACTCAAAACTGCTATAAAGAGAGCAGGGTGCAAACCACAGTCAGTTGAAACCCAGTGCTGCTGTGGACAGGGGCTTTAAAAGAAAGTGCTCATGTATAGTATGACCCTTGGATTGGCATATGTTGATGTAACTTTGTGAATTCATCACATCTGAAGGCTTGAGTGGTATCTGAACTACTGGCTTGCTTCTTGTAGGGTGTGCTGATCTCCAAAGCCTCGATACCATGCAGCCGATGGAAAGGAAGAGGCAGGGCTACATCCATGAACTCATTCAGACAGAAGAAAGATATATGGATGATCTTCAGCTTGTCCTGGAGGTGAGATGCTTTCATGTGGAAGTCTTTGGAAAAACACCACCATTGTCCTTAAGAATAATAGCAGTGAAGAGATGCTTAAAAATTGTGAAATGCCAGGGGAAGGCAGGAGGTTGTGTGAGCACCTCCCTTACCTCATGAATCATAGACTGGCCTGGGTTGAAAAGGCCCACAATGCTCATCTAGTTTCAACCCCACTGCTGTGTGCAGGGTCACCAACCAGCAGACCAGGCTGCCCAGAGCCACATCCAGCCTGGCCTTGAATGCCTGCAGGGATGGGGCATCCACAGCCTCCTTGGGCAACCTGTTCCAGTGCCTCACCACCCTCTGTGTGAAATGTTAGGTTTTGTGGTTGACCAGCAACCTAAAAAATCATATAAAAAACAAAGCAAAATCAGTGCTGACCCAACTAAAGGGAGAGCAAATGCTTTTTTCTCCAAAGAGCTGCTCACCTTTCTGATCTTCTTGATTGCAGGTTTTCCAGAAGCCAATGGCTGATTCGGGTTGTCTCACAGAAGGGGAAATGGGGCTGATCTTTATTAACTGGAAGGAACTCATCATGTCAAATACTAAGTTACTGAAGTGAGTACTTGTGTTTTTGTCTCATGTTTTTGTCTCATGTTTTTGTGTATGTGCTGTGTATGCAATGTGTGCATTCAGAACAGCTGAATGCAAGGCAGGAGGGTAATTTATTTTCTCTTTAGAGCCTTGCGAGTGCGTAAGAAAACGGGAGGAGAAAAAATGCCAGTACAGATGATTGGGGACATCTTGGCAGCAGAGCTGTCACACATGCAGGCCTACATTCGGTTCTGCAGCTGCCAGCTTAACGGGGCTTCATTGCTGCAGCAGAAAACTGATGAAGAAGCTGATTTCAAGGACTACTTAAAGGTATCTTGTTCAGCAGCCTTTGTACCTTCAGCTTTCCTCACTGACAGGAGCCTTTCTGACCAGCATCAACCAGATCGGAATAACCCAGAGGAGTAAATCTTGAAAAATAGGATGAGAGAATTCCAAGGAGTGGAGGTTTATATGCTTCTTCAGCAAGTACTTTACACCATTTCCCATTCTGTTCCTCATTACCTTGGTGTAGTGGTTAACCTTAGGAAGCCACAGAGCCAGTGTCTGCACCTTCCCTAAATCCACGTGGTCTAAAGGGGGTGAAGTCTGTGGAGTTAAAATAAGAAAGCTGTAGTGCTGAATGTGCTGTGCAGTGTGCAAACCGATGGGGCATGGAGTAGCAGCAGGGGCTGGGCCTTCGGTTGCGCACAGTGAGAATCACAGGCAGCTGCAGAAAGAAGTAAGGGATCGCTGCTGTATTGCAGCTGATGCTGTGCCTTTGAAGCCGTGAAAGGAGAAATGCCAGAACTGTTGACATCAGGCATTTGCTTCATTCATTGTTCTGTTTTGTTTTGTTTTTTTCAACCTGAGTGGAGCATATTATGTCAGAATAAAAGCTGGAATGGTTTTGTATGTTCTGACTCTGCATGGGCAATGATGCTACAGCGCTGTGCTGGCGAAGCGTCTGGGCACAATGACAGCGCTGACTTTCCTGTTTGTTCTAGATACAAGTGGACTGTATTGTTTGCTAGCCTAAAAGTCTGAGATTTCTTGGAAAGCCTGAAAAAATTAAATGTGATCAGACCCTTTTCAGTGCAGTGAAGCAGCTGTTTCTTGATGAGTAATACGATGTCTCTGGATTGCACTGTAGAAACTCGCTCTGGATCCTCGCTGCAAAGGAATGCCCCTCTCCAGTTTCCTCCTGAAACCCATGCAAAGAATAACGCGCTACCCTCTGCTTATAAAGAGTGTGAGTATCCTGAGTGAAGTCTTGCACGAAAATGCTTTGATTTTATTCTCTATAGCAAAAGAAAGAAAACCTTATCTCTTCATGGGGATTTCTGGAAGAGTGTGGAGAACTATCTCCCATGCTTACCTCCGTTTGTGTCTTGGTTTCTCCTCATTTTGTTTTGCACCAGATTCTAGAGAATACTCCAGAAAATCACCCAGATCACAGTAACCTCAGGCTTGCCTTGGAGCGTGCAGAAGAGCTGTGTTCTCAGGTTAACGAAGGGGTGCGTGAGAAAGAGAACTCGGACCGGCTGGAATGGATACAGTCCCACGTGCAGTGCGAAGGCCTTGCTGAGGTAGCTGCACTGCAGTGCTCTCTGGCAGAGGCTGTGTCAGTTTGTTTTGGGAAGGCCAGAGCAGGGGAGTCTCCTCTGGAGATACCTAGGACCTGCCTGGATCCCTTCTTGCGTACCCTGCGGCAGGGAAGCTGCTTTAGCATGGGGTTGGACTAGAGGAGCTCCAGAGGTCCCTTCCAACCGCTACAGTTCTGTGATTCAGGGAAATGAGAGAGCTTGCCCACATCCCCTACTGGGAATGTGATCCACTGCTGATCTCTTGGCAGAGATGTTGCTCACAGCCACAGTATGAAGAGCCCTCATTGTTCAACCATTATTTTGGCAGTGGGGAATCTCCGTTTACCAGTGTATAATTAATACCATTCAAACAGTTAAACAAACAGAAGTAACTCCCAGTCCTGAAGTTCTGCTCGTGCTGCCTTTGAACTAAATCAGGCGTACACTTTGGGACAGTTTTCAAAATGAAGTGTGGTACCAGTTTTCACTGGTAGCCAGGGTTGGACAGAGAACAGAGCCCAGCGTGCCTGTCCTGGTGCCATTGTTTTGCTGTGCATTCGTAAGAGGTTACCTGACTGCAGACTTCAAGGACTCTTCTTAAACACAACTTCTGGACAGCAGAAAAGTGACCATGAGGTGAAGGCTGCTCCAGACCTGAGCATTTATTGTTTGTAAGCAGATTTAACTTGCTTACAGCTGGGAATAGTGCTGACACCATGACAGACCGTGAGACAGCTTCCCTCCTCTTCACTGCTAACTCCATATTCAGTAAGCAAAATAGGATTTTGAGCAGTTTGAGCAATTGCTGTTGTGAAGAGGAACTAATGCCTGCATTCGCTTGCTGCTGCTCATGGGTTTTTGTCTCTCCTAGCAACCCGTGTTCAATTCCCTCACAAACTGCTTGGGACCACGGAAGCTCCTGCACAGCGGCAAGCTGTACAAGGCGAAGAGCAGCAAGGAGCTGTATGGCTTCCTGTTCAACGACTTCCTGCTGCTTACCTACATGGTCAAACAGTTTGTCTCTTCTGGCTCTGATAAACTGTTCAGCCCCAAGTCCAACTCCCAGTTCAAAATGTACAAAATGGTGAGTGCAGGAGGTGCCCCATGGTCCTGTTGATTCGGAGTAGTTTTTCTTTCAGTCCTTTGTTGCCTCCTTTACACGGTGATCTGATTGTTCTTCTTGTATCCTTCAACTTTCAAACACCCTGCAGAAAAAAACATGTACTGAAATATCCTTGTAGAGTTTCAGCTTAATGTCGGGGTGATGACGCCACAGCAATGTTTGCTTTTCTTTCAGCCTGTTTTCCTTAATGAAGTCCTGGTGAAATTGCCCACGGATCCTTCAAGTGATGAGCCAGTTTTCCACATATCACACATTGACAGAGTTTACACACTTAAAACTGACAACATCAATGAGCGGTGAGTAGAGCAAATGCGAATTTGAGGTTAACCTTTCTGAATGTGGCTGGGGGCTGTGTTCCTGGTGAGCAGGACAAGGCTTAGCTTCCCCATCAGGACATGAACTCCTCTGACTCTTGTATGAATTACAAGCTTTCTGTCACTTTGTTCTGCTTGTAGGGCAGCTCTTGAAAGCCAGCATTGCATCTACTGCTCCCAGATGTTGTAGTTGCATAGAAGAGTAGTTTAGGTCTGCCAAGTCCTGCATCCCGTAGGATTCTTCCTCAGTGCTGGTCAGTCTTCCATGTGACCCTGCAATTTGTAATAAAACAGACATTTCAATTTCATTTATTTAGGCTCATATGGAAGCGTGCCATAAGAATTAATGTGAACCCTCTGCAGCTTTGGTCCCTAAGCGAACTTGACTTGTGATGCCTCTGAAATCCAGTAAATAAAAAATGGCAAAAGAGGATGGGGCAGAGTCGCTGTTAATGAGGGATTTCCTGCCTATGGTACAACTCTTATGTTGGGATTGCTCTTTGCAGCACTGCCTGGGTCCAGAAAATCAAAGCAGCATCCGAGCAGTACATTGAAACCGAGAAGAAGAAACGTGAAAAAGCATATCAAGGTACTGAGTTCTGTCTTCTTCCCTCACCCACCCAGACCCCCACTGTGTTCTGAAGGACGCTGCACATCTCTGGGGGGAATCTCTCTTCAAAAACGGCCAGTTTTTGTGGTTGCAGCCAATTTCTGACTTCTTCGTTTCCAGCTCGCTCACAGAAGACCTCGGGAATAGGACGTTTGATGGTGCACGTGATTGAAGCAACAGAGCTGAAGGCCTGTAAACCCAATGGTAAGTGATGGAAATAGTCTCACATTCCTGCGGGGTTTGGAAAGGCTCATTAAGAGCAATCTGGCAATTTGGGAAATGTGGTTACAGCTGCAGCTCCTGGACATAACAGCCATTATTTAGCTTCAGAGGAGTGGATGGAGAAACAGCTCTGTGCTGCTATAAGATCTGTGGATATGTAACCCCACATCATCTGCACAGCAGCGTAGATGTGTGTCCAAGCAGCCTGTAGACAGACAGGGAGGTTTTGTCACTTCTGGGGTGTCTCACTGCTGCTTCTCTGCTTAGGGAAGAGCAACCCGTACTGTGAAATCAGCATGGGCTCTCAGAGCTACACAACGAGGACCATGCAGGACACCTTGAACCCCAAGTGGAACTTTAACTGCCAGTTCTTCATTAAGGATCTGTATCAGGATGTCCTCTGTATCACCATGTTTGACAGGGATCAATTCTCTCCTGACGGTAAGTGCGTGAACATTTGTTTTAGGAAAATAAAGTGTTCTTGTGACTTGGGATGCATGGATTTTCACCAACAGTCTGTAGGTACAATTGCTTTCTGCAAAATGTTGTGTAAAAAGCAGTGCTTCCATACTGAAGAGGCTGAATAGCTGCCCAGAGCCAACAGTCAGATTTGATCCCACTCAGGCTTTTCTATTAGGAACAGAACTATTTTTTGTAGAGCTGGGAGCTGAAAGGAGTTTTTGTCTGTCATTGTAGGCAGTGCCTGAGAATAAAGTACTAGGTTACGTTTACACAGCAGTTACTTGATGAGCTTTCTTTTGCTTGGAGACCAAACACTTTTTTGCAGTCTGCTGCTGGTAGTCTTTAAAAGGTGAAGTGATACAGAAGCCTAAATCAAAGTTGTCTGAGCCAAAGTACTTAATTTTTTTATGATCTTTGTAGCAGTGCAGCTGACATGTAAACGGGTGCCATCGCTTAGTTCTGACCTTGAGACTGTCACTTGTCATAAATTTTAGATGTCGCAGACAGAACATTTCAAGTGTGATAGTACAGAATCATTAATGCTGGAAGTAACAACTGAATAAGCAAAAGTAGTGCCTGAAATCAAAGTCTGTGTGGTAAGGAAACTGCGTGATGCTGAAAAACTGCTGCGCAGCCCTGAGCTCCCCTGTCTGACAGGGAACAGCTTCCCCTTCAGGTCCGCACGGTGCTTCCCTGCGCAGCACGTAGCACTGCTGATTAACGTCACGCTTTCAGATTTGCTGAGCTTCATGTCTGCTTAATGACATCTCATGCTTGTTTTTGTACAACAGATTTTTTGGGTCGCACTGAAATTCCGGTAGCAAAAATCCGAACAGAGCAGGAGAGCAAAGGCCCCACAACCAAGCACTTACTGCTGCATGAAGTGCCGACCGGCGAGGTCTGGGTCCGTTTTGACCTGCAGCTCTTTGACCAGAAAACACTCCTCTGAGAGCACTTCTTTAATTGATGAAGGACAAATGAAACTGACAGATTGAACTTTGGGATAAGATTCCTTGCCCTAAGCTCCTCATTAAGCAATATACCTGCTGCTTTCCCGTTCCCTCAGTCACTGGTTGCATTTAGTTCCTTGCTGCGTTCGAAGCTGTCGTTCATCTATGCAAACACAGATGTTACTGTGTGTACAGTACTATAGCTCAGTGCCTTCTTATTACATTGGAATATGTTGGGTTTGGATGCCAATGTTTTCATTTTCAGGGCCATAAAAAGTATTAGGTAGAAACGTGGCATCAAAACATATGTGTATTTTACCACATAGTCTAATGAGCAGACTGAGGAATGGTTTAGTATCGCACTAGAATCATTCTGTTTGAAATCTGAAAAGTGATATCCACTGGAATCCTCCTGTCTCAGGATGATAGTTTTAAAGATTAAATGCTGAAGAAGCCTTAGCACTGGAGAGTTCTCCAATCTCTTGTATATTCTTTAAGAATCAAGTGTAGTTCTTCACTTGACATAGTTCTGCACTGAAATCAGTAACTGCAACTTGATTTTTCTTTTTGCTTCAGTTGGATGAATCGTTCTCTGCTGAGACAATGTCATTGTAAAAAAAGAACTAGAAACAATGTTTTAAATACTGTGACTCACAATAATGTGGAAAAATACTTTCCAGCTTTTGGTTTTCCTAAATCTAAGTTATTTGTGTACAGTTCCTTGGTTTTGCAGACCTCCATGTGAATCTTGAAGCTTTGACATTGCCAACATTGTATATAGAGAGTAAAATATAAGTTTATTAATGTAATTTGTCTACAGATGTCTATTGATGCATAGTGACTTTTAAAAAGTATATTTTATTGTACAAGAGAATGTGAATTAATGAGAAAAACTTACTTATGGAATTAAATTCAAAAGAAGTTTGTTAAAAGTTTAAGATGTTTGCTGAGAGGAAGCGCTAGCACAGCATTCATCTGCAAGATGAGACTGGCTGCAAGCAAAACCCTTCTTCGGGGCACCAAAAGTAGGGCTGATCTAAGGAAGATTGTTGTAAAGGGTTTGATACATGGTAACCATCGTACTGCCTCCTTCAGCTGCTTTGTTGAAAAAGCACAGCATGCAATTCGGAACAGCAGGTGCCCTTGTTTTCTGTGGGTGCCGCAATTCCTCCCGGTGTCTGACAGTTCCACACTTGACTGCCATCTGTGTACCCTCCTGTTACAGAGCTGAGTCAACCTCTGTTACTTTTAACAGTTTTCTGTGGTTCAGTATTTCTAATCCTAAATAAAACTAAATCTTGGCAACGCTTGAGAGATCACGTTTGTGCTGTGAGAGAGCGAGAGAGCTGCTGCTGTTCTCAGGTTTCGACATCAGAGCTTCTGTGCAGTTACAGCAGTGGGGAGGTGGGGACAACAGCAAAACTGTGTGCGCATCGCTAGGGCACCAGCAGCTCCATGCAGTATTGCAACACCTGAAGCTAAATGCAAACTTTGTCATTCCCCTATCCACTGCTGGAAGTAATAGCAGCAGTATTTCAAACATTTCTTTGACTGCTGGGTAACAGTACTGCAGGAGCACTACTTTAAGACAACGAGTTTATTGCAGTTTTCCAGAAGACCTGGCCCACTGTCACTTGCTTTAGCAGAAGACCTAACATGTTTTGCAGACAGTACCTTCTGATGGCTGTGCTTGCCACTGCAGTGAGCTGGAGGTGACATCATCTGCTCTCACTGTCTTTGTGGTGGTCTACAACTCTCAGCCTTCAAACAGAAATAAAAACTATTGTCAGCCAACCCAAGAGCAAGGCTGCCATCGCCCAGCACGGCTTCCTGCACTGGCTCTTTCCCACACTGAGTTACTCCAGGAAATGCTTGTCTTTGTGACCAGTTTCCCTTCTAGAACTTGCTGTTAGCCCATAATTGCTCTAACAGTTATGCTGGACAAAGGCTTGGGCCAGCAAGAGGCATAAAGCTCCAGTACATGGGCTCAGGGGAGAGAGTGGGCCGGCTTCAAGGACATCCAGCTCCCAGCTGAGCTTTGATGCTCTTGTCACTGTGGAACAGAACTTCCTTTAACTGTTGTGCACTGCACCAGCAGGCCGGGGAGCTTTCAAAAAGAGGTGAATCACTGGGAGTGTTTTATCAAATACTTTACAATGCAGCCAAACGAGAGGCTTTACCTGGTGTAACTGCTCTCTCAAGAAACACAGCAGCTCTTACCTCCTTGTTCTGTGGAGCTCACTAGCAATGTAGGCGTGTGGAACCTTCAGCCACTCGATCGCATCCATGCGCTGCCGGCCCAGGGGAAGCAGGGGCAGTTCCTGCAGCTCTCTGCTAGAGCATGGTCTTCCTGAGGGAAGGAAACAGATGCTTGCCAAGGAAGGGGGAGCTTCCCCCAGCATGAAAAGTTTCTAAAGGACACTGATGATTTATCCTACCTGTCTCACACCGTTTGACGATGCCTGTCTCAATAAACTTTTTCTGAACAGCTTTTAACAGAGGATCCTGTAAAGCTGGTATTGAAACCTGTGACAGAGACAATAATTTCAAGCGTAAGCACATAGACAAGGATTTTATGAGAGTGTCTCAAAGACCGAAGTCAGACAAATGTAAACTTCAAGAAACAGTTGGTTAGCAGGGAGAAATATCAACCTCAGTTTTTATGAGCAAAAAGATGAGGGGCAGACCTAAGTGGCCCCAGTTCGTAGAAATGCTGAGCATTGCAGCTCCTCCTTCAACACTGTCACAAACGATGAGACACAGATGGTCCCGAGGGCTCACAGCACCCAGGAAGGATTTAGAGAATTGCATTTTGTGGATCTGTGCCTGAGTCCTTCCTACCTGCCTCTCCCACCCGCTACACGAAGCTTTGGTGCATTTGATATGATCTCTACAGCACACACCACCCACCTTCCAGCAGTCTGTGCACGTCTTCAGGAACAGTGGGTCATACTCTGATGGGTCATAAGCTTCCAAAGCCACATAGCCCTGTAGGAGAAGTAGGTTATGTTGTAGTATAACAGGCAAATACCTCCAGCCATTTTAATTGAATGCAAGATATATACATTGCAAGTACTTTCATGAAGCATCAGACATCCAGAGTGAAAGGTTAATTATTACTAGGGCAGTTCAGGTAGTGAAAATTCTGTTCAAGGGAACAGGTTTTGACCGAAGAAGGAAAAGAAAAAAAGCACCTAAGCCCCACTGGCCTCATTTTTTCCTTTAAATGAAGATTTTCAGCTTTCCTGTGGGCACAGTTCACCAGGGGTCACAGCAAGGAAGGGATGCAGCTTTTGGCTCTCTGCCCTGTATAATTCTTTTTGGAGATCAGCAAATGAGAACTGGAAACATCATGCTTGGAACAGTCAGTAGGGCTGCAACGTGAGGCCAAACCAACCAAACCAAAGCCCTGGGATCTACAGTAAGTGTAAGATATCACTGTATTGAAGGCCCTGCAGTGGGCAAGTGAATCAGGCCATCGGGCCTGCTGCTCCAGACTCTCACAGAGCATCTGGGCAGCCCTACAGAACCCGAGCTGCTGCTGAAAGCAAAGACTGCTCAGGCAGGCCACATAGCAGCTTCTCACCTTCTGCAAAACTTTAAGAACTAACATGCCTTGATTTGCAAAGTTTTAGTGCCACCCGTTGGTTAATCACTGTATGTCATCCTATTACAGTAGTGGCTGAAGCCTCAGTGCTGGGTGCTGTGCCACAAACTCCAACTCAGCACGTATGGCCTTGGACAGGAAAAAAAAGAGAGAAGAGAAACTGGACGAATTTACATAGAGAGAATAGACTGATGAAAGAGAAACAAAAAAGCGAGATCTGGGGTACAAAACAAAAAGTCTACAAAGCAAGGAGAGGTGCAAGAGAAAATGGGCAAAGAGAAGGGAGGGAAGAAAAAATTGCACAGCCAGAATTTGGGATGTGAGCCAATCTGTAGAAGTGTCTTAAGTTCTGCAAAATGTGTCATATGCTGCCATAATTAATGCAAACATATGCAAATAACGATGCTGTTATTCTGGAGGGCTGCAGCCCACTGAGGCAGGGAGAAAAGGTGGGGGTTGGTCATTGATGGTGCACTTGTTTGGGGTGAAGAACACTCCAGTGCAACAGCCACTGTGTTCAAAGGTCACCCAGCAAAATCCTGACCCAACACAGGGGTTTGCAGACCCAGATGTGCACAGTACATCTCACAGATCCAAATGCCAGGATCTGGGCTGAAGGACTGATTCAGCTTTTCATCACTAAGTGCAGTTTAAATGCATGGATCTTTCACATCAGACTTTTGAAGAATAGATTGTTTGTTCTCATTTCAGCGCCACAGCTCCCACAGTGTTCTCATTTCTGGATAGGAAGCTTGTTTACAGTCTCATAAATCCACTGTGCAGTGGTTTCCACTGACAACAACAGCCTGCCCTGTATAAAATACTGTGCTATTTATGGCAGGTGATCTGATTGCCCTTATTGCTCTTGATATCCAAGTCAGAGGTGCAGAAAGTTGAGTCGTGGAATCTCTTAAAGAATTATATGAAATTCAGAGCAACAACAAGAAGCATTTCCTACAGTGACTGCTGGCCTTTGCTTTCACCTGATGGAGCTCTGTTGATGGAACTCACAAATGAAATCCACTGTTTGACCATTCTCAGAACCCAGTGTGTGCTCAGTGCAGTGAGCAAAGCAATTGCTTTTTTCTGATGGCAAATTTAAACAACTGGCTGGAATGATGTATGCCACAATCAGAGGTCCTCAGGAAGAGTAAGTTTTAAATAAGGCACATTGGAACACAAGGCTGGTCAACTAACAGCAAATAGCAGCCAAGACCCCAGTCTCATCCACAACTCTTTCCTTGGCAGAAATTTGTATCTTGATACCTTCTTTTTACAGTAGTTTAAATAGAGAGACAGTTGTTCTTCCCTCCTCTTCCGTATTTCTTCCCTCGACTGGCTATCCATTTTGTCCTCAATTTTCCACAGCAGCGGCTCTGAAACATCCTCAAGCCATTTCTTGTATAGGATCTCCTTCTTTCTCAGATTTAAGAAATCCTGGTGCCTCAAATACCTGTCCACCTCCTGTGTGACAAATGGAAAAACAAGCACACAACACGTCAGCCAAGCAATCATCTTAATGAGTCCACAGATGAAGCTATGCAGCACGGCTGACCTGATCCGACTGGGCAGCGCTGCCCTCCCTGCCAGCCCTCCCTTCTGCTGCTCCCTCTCTCCTGTTGGCTCCAAGCCCTTCTTTGCATTCCCTCCCCCCTCCCCCCCCCCCAGGTTATTGGGAAAAGGATTTTTTTTCCTCTAGCAGTGGCAGCCTGCTGGATTGGGTCAGCCCTGCTGTCCATTATTCACAGTCTCACCGCCATCCATTTCATCCACAGAAGAAAAGTTAGGTGCAAACGGGCACTCAGCCACTGAAGAGGGAAAACTGTGAAACTCACATTTAGGGCTGTCAGTTCAGTCCTGTCCTCAGGAAGTCAGAAGGATGTATTTCTGAATTTAGTTTTCCAGGAATATAGACAACTGATGTTTTATCATAATTCATCAATGGAAATAAAGACTTTTACATACAGAAAACTAACAGTAAGCAAGAGAAAAAGAGGTAATTTCTTACTCTCACAAAGTAATTTTCTCTGTCTAAGATGGACTGAACAGAAGCAATGATGTCTCTGCTCTCATCAGGAGCCACCTGGCAAAACAGCAAGAAAAGACGTGAAATAAAAACAGGGAGTTACAGCAGCTGTCAGAATTACCTTAGATCAGAATAGTTACTTGAGCTGGGATTTAAGGCATGTTACACCCTAACACAGCTGGCAGAACAGCACAGAGCTCTGTGAGCCTTACTCTGAATAGACAGATTAAACTCAATGTTTTGGAAGAACGAAAGCGTTCACGTTCATTGTGATCAACCCAGGCACCTCCTTGGATGCTCCTCACTGGGGCTGTGCCACCACTTGATCCAGGCCACTTGCTCAAGTGTGTCCAAAACAAAAAACCAAAACCAAATAAACCCCAACATTTAGGTTTCATGCAAAAACTTTCTGAATGTCACAGAACTCAACAAAGGTACCTCAAAGTGCTCAATAAAACCCACCAGGTTAATATTTTCAGTTGTTTGTTCTCCAACGACAAACATAACTCAGACCTCCAGAACTTTGCAAACAACCATCTTTTATTCCTCCCTTCATCCCTTTCATTCTATTCCACTCCTCCACTCGTACCTTTGCGCGATAGAAGTCCTTCTGTATCAGGCAGTATCTGCTAGTATTTGTCTTCCCAGAGAATCTACTGCAATCAAATGTATTTGCTGCGTTGCTCCTTGCTGGTGCTGTGGAGCACCTCTGGATAAATTAAAAAAAAAAAAAAAAAAAAAAGGAAAAAGTCTGCATGAAAAACGTCTACCTGCTTTATAAAGATCAGGCTCTCATCTAGGTTCCACAGGCAGACTACAGACTGGGATACAAGAAGTTCACCTAAGATCCTCATACCATGCTGCCTTGCAAACCTCATTCTCCCAGGGCAGGATTTACAACAAACCTTTAGCACTTTTTTCACTGTAGCAGTTCTCTGCAGTACTTCAGGAGAAAACATTTCACACACACAAAATGGAAGCACTGGAGATAGGGATATCCCAAGCTAGGGCAATGATTTTAACGGCAAGAGCACTCTTTGAATAGATTTACATACAGGTTCAATCCTACATAGCTGTAATGCAAGCGGCTCTTGTGGAACCAGACCACTGCTTACTGGGTCAGCAACCTTTTCATGCATGCATCAGACAGGCTGCAACATCACTGCAGCACTGCATTTACTGATGCTTCCACCAGCACTAACGTTTGGGGTTTCTCTGGAAGATTTGCACAGTACTTGGATTCTAGACAGCCCGACCTACAGTAAATGCACAGGAAAGGCAGAGCACATGAATCTTCCCATAATACACATATACTCCATCAGAAGAGGGGTGGCCAGCAGGGACAGGGAGGTGATTGTCCCCCTCTACTCTGCTCTTGTGAGGCCCCATCTGGAGTACTGTGTGCAGGTCTGGAGCCCTTAGTACAAGAAAGACAGGGAGCTGTTGGAGAGGGTGCAGGGAAAAGTGACAAAGATGATTGGGGGACTGGAGCACCTCCCCTATGAGGACAGGCTGAGTTGTTCAGCCTGGAGAAAAGGCAGCTGTGGGGTGACCTCATTGCAGCCTTTCAGTACCTAAAGGGAGCCTACAAACAGGAGGGGAATCGACTCTTCGAAAGTGTAGATAACAGCAGGACAAGGGGAAATGGTTTGAAGTTGAGGGAGGGAAGCTTTAGGTTGGATGTCAGGGGAAGTTCTTTACAGAGAGAGTGGTGAGGCGCTGGAACAGCTGCCCAGAGAGGTCATTCAAGGTCAGATTGGATGGGGCCCTGGACAGCCTGATCCAGTATTAAATGTGGAGGTTGGTGGCCCTGCATGTGGCACAAGGGTTGCAGATTCATGATCCCTAAGGTCCCTTCCGACCCTGGCTATTCTGTGATACACATCCCTGAGCATTCATAGGGTGGAGACAAAACCACAGGGATGTCCCTGCTCACTGGGATGCCTGATGAACTCATGTGCTGGTCAGGGAAGGCAGGTCTGTGGGTACCAGCTGCCAGTGCCAAGAAGGAAACACAGATATAGCCAAATGCCCTAGGTTCTCAGCTATACACAAGTTTCATGTTTCATTTCCACTCTTTGCATCAGAATTCACAGCTGAAGGAATGCAGAGCTGCTCACCTGGTACAGCTTATGCTGACAGAGTTCTGCTGCAGGTTGTGGACCTGTAGCCTGGGGAGCAGTCTCTGAGCTACGCGCAGTATGCATTGCAGGGGGAGGCTGCAAGAAGCATTAAAACATTCCAAACCATATGAAACTGTTCCATAAACACCAAAAAGCTAGTTGTCCTACAATGCCAGACAAACACGCAACAAAGCTCCGTAGGAATTCTAATTGCCAAACATACCAACCGTCATTTTGTATCACTGTAAGTGAAAAGCAGGGAGACAAAGTATCACGTTTAGAGGCAGATAGTCTGGCACTACCTGTCTGTTCTCATCTTCCTAATGTATGGATGGTAAATTTTGTTTTAAAGAACAAAGTGAACCACAAATTACTCCAGAATGCTTCCAGCTTTGAAAACATTTCAGAGTCACCAGGTTCTGCCTTGTGACTTTTACTTCTTTCCTTTGTGCCTTTCTCAATTACATAAAAGTTACCTTCAAGTAACCACTACGTTCCACAATAGGGATAGCTGCATTTCAGTGGTTTTAAAAGCCAGTTCTAAGAAATGAAGCTTACGCTAAAGCACCAACACTGAGATCAAGACAGGAAATACCATCTCCTCCATTATATGTGCACTAGTATGTTTCATAGAATCATAGTATCACCAAGGTTGGAAAAGACCTCTAAGATCATCCAGTCCAACCACCCACTTATCACTAACATTTTCCACTAAGATAATAAATTTCCTCTTGCTTCAGAAGTGCTGTTCAGTAGAGCAGAGCGTTCTTCCCTCTGCTAAAATACACAGCAGCTCCCCTGCATAATCAACAAATATTAAGATGTTATAATTACAAAATAAACAATAGAGTTTGGCAAAGCAGATAATGATAACAAAAAGAGACTGGATAGAAAGCTTACCCCTATCCTGGGCTCACTTACAAAACTCCAGCAGAGCTGATTTCCAAAAGAGATCCTTCCCCACTGGCAGCCAGCTCTTAAATAGGGCTAGGAGGAGTGGAGCCTGGCTCCACCCCATCCGGCAGCACAGGTGAATTGCTTTCACCTGTGCTCCTCTGGCTGACTCATTGCTTGCCTCAGGTGATCAATCAGGGGTTCAGGCCGGGACTCAGCAGTTCCCATACACTCCCCAAGCATGGTTTTGCAGAAACACTGAGAAGGCAGATGAATCATTTCTGTGGCAGAAAGTAAATTCCCTTACAGGGGAGGCTCTGTCCTCTCAAAAGCCCATTCTGACAAAAGCCTTTAGGAGAAGCTGCCCTGCAGGCTCACAGTCATGGAACGATCTAGGTTGGAACTAAACCCTCAAGATCAACTCCAGTCACAACACATTGGATATCCATGTTATAAAAACCATACATACACTTGTTAGCAATGCACTGAAATCTGCTGACTGTGTAAAGGAATGCAGAGAATTAAGAATTCAAATTACTGCCTGACACACAATTGCTTTTTATTCCTCTTGAATGTGGTAAAGTAAGATTATTTGTTTGTGTGTACAGGACTTTGGATTTACAACAAACCTTTAGCACTTTTTTCACTGTAGCAGTTCTCTGCAGTACTTCAGGAGAAAACATTTCACACACACGAAACGGAAGCACTGGAGATAGGGATATCCCAAGCTAGAGCAATGATTTTAACCGTGAGAGCACTCTTCAAATAGGTATACATACAGGTTCAATCCTACATAGTTGTAATGGAAGCGGCTCTTGTGGAACCAGACCACTGGAGGATTTGCACGTTCATGGTTTCCTCTCCTCTTTTTCCCCTCAGAAGAGAAATACTTTATACTGCTATACTAAAACTTTTACGTATTAAAACACACCGGAATGAGGACTTTCAAACCCTGTGAAGTTCTCAGAAAGGCTTTCCTCCCAAACCTATCGAAGGACCCAACGATGGCCGCTCCGAGGCAGCCCCTGACTCGGACACCTCGCCACCGCCACAGCCGAGTAGAGCCAGGGCGGCAAAAATGGCGCCGCCCCAGATCGCATCACACCACCCATTCCGTATGTCCTTCCGCCTGAGAAAATAGTCCCTCCCCACTACCTCCAGCCTCTCGGAAGAGGAGGGAACCCCCAGGGCAGCGACTCGGCTCCCTGTCCGCAGGGCGGGCACCCAGCGGTGGCCGCCCGGGCTCAAGGGGACGGGGCGGGAAGAAGAGCGGCCAGATCTCTCCGCGCCCGCCGCCAGCGCTCCGGCAGCCCATAGCAACGCGAACGCCCGGTCCGGAGTCACAGGGCAGACCTTTCCACCAATCAGAATGGGAGCGCCTTGCCGAGTGAGCCAATCGGGAGCCGAGCACGGCCCGTCTCTCGAGTGGGAGCGCTGTGGGCAGCGCAGGCGGCGCTGGGGGCGCAGTTGCCCTGGCGACGCGTCGCGGGGCTGCGGTTGCGGGCACGGGGCGGCTCCTGCGGCTATGAAAAACAGAACCGAGAAATGTTATAAAAGTTAACTTTTGGAGGGGTTTTACAGCCTTTTTGGCAAAGGGGACCGTTCGACTGCCGGTCTATTCTGCCGCTCTCTTAGGTTTGGGATTTTTGGTGTCTTACTTTGAGGGTTAGCGTTAATTGTCGAAACTCCTAAATTCCCAGAATTGGTTTGCGGCTTAAGAGAGGACGAACGTTTAAACATTTACACATCTGTTCCTTCTCACAGAACAAATGATCCAACTTCAGGCTTTGCTGAAGGAAAGCCTCATCAGAACAAAGCACGTGGAGAACGCAGCTGCGATCGGCATAAATGAAAGGGAAGTTTGCGCTTCCACCTCTGGCTTCTATGTAAGAAATGGGAGCTGCGGGGCGACGGCGGCGGGAGGAGCTCAGAGTGGCGGTGCGGGCGGGGAGCTGCGCTGTGCTTTGTGAGCACGTGTGTGTCTGTGCATCCTCTGGCATTGAGACGTGCTTTCCTAATCCCTGTGACACCACCACCAAACGGTTTTGACAAGGGTACGCACAGCTCCCATTGGGATGCTCAGGGGAACGCGTTCAGAAGACTTGCTAACAGAGCCCTAGGGGTTGAGGTAACGTAATTTTAAGTGAACTGTCAAAGAAAGTGGGTGAGTAAACCATGAGTAAAGAGCAGCTCGTCATTGTGAAGACGTACATTTTCAGTCCATAACACTGTGCTGTATGCACACAGGTGCCACCAGAGAATGCCATAAACCTCATCTATGCCTTCTACAAGAACTTGCTGCAAGTTAGAAAGGAAGGACTGTACTTCAAGCAGAAGCACTATAAGTGTGTTCGAGCAGATGAGCATTCCATCTACCTTAAAAATGTATGTTGACAGCTGTGGTAGTCCTGAGAAGTTTGGAAGCCTCCTACTTCCTTCTTTTACTGTCTGGTTGCCTTAGGATGAATGTTTTCATGTGTTTCTTTCCTTCTTTCTCTTGGTATTGCTTTCCCAGCAGGTTGGGGAAACTTATTCACACTGCTGTGCAATAATACATTAAAGGTGCAGAGCAGGGCAGTTCTCTTCTCACTGGTGACAGGATGAGGGGAAATGGCCTCAAGTTGTGCCAGGGTCAGTTTAGGTTGGATATCAGGACACACTTCTTTACAGAAAGGGCTGTTAAGCACTGCAATAGGCTGCCCAGGGAGGTGGTTGAGTCACATCCCTGGATGTGTTTGAAGTCCATTTGGATGTGGTGCTCAGGGACGTGATGGAGCGGAGGGTTGTTGGAGTTGGGTAGTATGGTTGGGTTGTGGCTGGACTCGATGATCTTTAAGGTCTTATCCAACCTGAGTGATTCTATGATTCTATCATTCTGTGATTAGTCATAAGCAACAATGGGCAATGCAGTAAGGGTTCTGAGTGACTTTAATAAGCAGCAGTCTTCAAAACATGCACAGCTACTGCTCTGTCTACATCCTTTCTTAGGATTTGAGAGTATTCGTCTTTTCCTCAAGTATACTGGCAAAGGGAATGTGAGTAACCTAAATTGTAAGGCAATATGTATGTATATGCATCTAACTTTGTCCCACTTGTATTATCTAGGCAGATGGAGGCCTCATAGCAGTGAAGACAAAAGCTTTCATCCTGATTGCTACGTACAGAGTGGGCATGTATCCCAGTGTGTGTGTGGAAGCTGTGGAGAAACTCGGTAAGACAAACACATGTACCTGTGTGCCTGCATGTCAGTGGTTCACTGACTGGCTCTGCTCTTGAAACAACTTCAAAAATGTATCTGACATACTATCAAAATTTGAAAATCTTGGCAGCCTGAATACAGCCATGAGTTACTGCTCTCCAGACATCCCACCATGATCCAAAGCTTCCATGGGTATCAACAGGTTGCAGAACTGTCTCTTGCATTGGCCTTTGTGGCACGAGTTTTTTGTTTGTTACCCTTAAACACAGTGGAACCCAACAGTCACGTTTCCTTGACCTCATACAACTAATGCTGAGCCCGTGTCTTAACACACATCATATGAGCATCATCTTCGATACTCTGATTCACATTCCATTTCTTCAAAAACCCATGAGCTTCCCCAGGTGTTTCAAACTTTCCTTCTATGCCTACATGAATCTGAAAACATCATTAAGCTGCTTCCTCTCAAGTGTTGTTTCACAGTTACAAAGCACCTCTTCTCTCACAGAAGTGCCCATTTCCTTCCTTCTTCTGCCAAAGTTCCCTTTGTGGGACTCCTCTTAAGTTCCTCTCTCTGAGGTTTGGTGTTTCAAAGACTTAGGGTTAAAATCTCACGCTTTGTTCCCCGTTTGAGAATAAAGCAAAACGTAGCCCTCTGCAGACAAGCTGTGCTCATCTCAGATGTAGTTTTCTCAGTGCGTGGAGGTGCTGGCAAGGATTATGCCAGGGAGACAAATAACAGATACACATCCTATTGCTGTAGTGTGCGGCTGACTATTGGGGATAAAATCATTTTATCACATCATCCAGATGGATTGAATGCCAAAGAGCAGATTCCAGAGTAGCCCTGGTTTTCACCATGGAAAGAGATATTTCTATACCTATGAGTATGCCCATTTTACTGTGTAGGAATGAAATTCCAGATCTAGTGTGCTCAGCGTTGTTCCTTGTCTAGGTGCCTACATGTAAGTGGAATTAATCTGTGTTCTGGGGCCTAAGCTGTTTAGTCTGAAATGAGCTGTAAGACTGACAGCAATAAATTCTTCAAACTTCCACTACATGTTTCCAGAGCCAGATTTCCTGCAGTTTTGACAATGTGAGTTTATTTTTTCCCTTCAGGATGATTTCTTTGTGAAAACAAAGTGGCATTAGCTTTTACTTGCATCTTATTTTTGCAAATGATTTAGGTATGAAGTGATGAGTGTTTATTTTGTGGAACAGATAATACCATACGAATATAGGCATTAGGATTTTGGCTGTGCAATTAGGAAGACTGCTGTCCTTTCAATTAAAGCCTGAGGTGGACTTGAACTTGAAAAAAGCATCTCGATTACAGCAGTTTTGTGTGTGATTTTCATCATTGTTGATTTTTTTTTAAATAAATTTATTTCTTTGTGTTTTTATAGCGGATTACTTAAGAGAGAAGGGTAGCTGAATCAGCAGAAAACTCGGACTCCGTCAAGTTCAGAAGGACTGTTCACCAGCAAAACAATACAGAACTCTGACATATTATCCAATTCCAGCAAGCACCTGCTGTTTTATTGCATTCCAGTGCAGAGTGAAGGCTCTTTCCTTCTGTTTTTCTTTCAAGAACTCCTGACAGTTCACAGCTCCCAAGAGGAGTACCCTCTGCATGTATCATCCAAGTTTCTGAATAGAATTTAGAGTGATGCCCACGGGATTTGGTTTAAGATGCTTTCCTTAGGCTTTTATATGTTGTCTTTTAGTTTGTTCTCAGATAACAAGGTGATGAATTTTCCTGTGCAAAATAACTCATAGCGTTTCTCTATGGCACCACTGACCTAGGAGGCTGAGGAAATTGCCGCATTAACAGATTTTCAGATTGCTCTGTACACCTTTGAATATTAAAACACATTTTTCACATGTCTGTTTGCACTGTCACTGACTGCTATAGAAATACTTTAATCTACAGTGGATTGTGAAGTTCTGTGAAGACTCAGGAGGAGGGACAACATTGCTACCAGGCTAGAACCATTGAATTGAAGAATCGTTCAGGTGGGAAAGGACGCTAAGATCATCTAGTCCAACTGCAACCTGTCCCACCATGTCCCTCAATGCCACATCTCCACAGTTCCTGAACTGTACAGAAGACAACTGAGGCTCTGCCTTACCACCAGGTGAAGAACAGGCTCAAGAAAACCAGGTCCCATGATCTTCTCATCTGCAGAAGCAAATAATCTATAGCTCTTGGAGTCATGTGAAAATAAACACATGTAGGTAGTGATAGGACAAGGGGGAATGGTTTTAAACTGAGATGGGGGGGTTAGGTTGGATCATAGGAGGAAGTTTTTCCCCCAGAGGGTGGTGAGGCACTGGAACAGGTTGTCCAAGGAGGCTGTGGATGCCCCATCCCTGCAGGCATTCAAGGCCAGGCTGGATGTGGCTCTGGGCAGCCTGGGCTGCTGGTGACCTGCACACAGCAGGGGGTTGGAAGTGGATGAGCACTGTGGTCCTTTTCAACCCAGGCCATTCTATGATTCTATGATTCAAAGAATTTTTTGCTATATTTGTTTCTAAATTTTTTTACTTTCAAAGTGTCCAAATCCCAAAATATTAAAATCAGTACAAAAAGAAACTCACAAAAGAACCCCACACACAGACAGACATATGAAAATGGATACCGTATCTAAATACTCTGAAATGGCAGTTTTATTTCCTGACAACTCCCACGTAATCAGGAGCTGGCAGGTGGGATGTGGATAAAGGCATAACCTGAGGCACCTCCCACTGTGGGAAATGGCAAAGCTCACCAAAGGGGTGAGATAAAGTGGCTGAACCAGCAGGGAGAAATGCAGTGGGTGGATGGACACGAGCCAGCGAGCTCTGAGTGCTGCAGTCTCATAGGAAGCAGCGACAGATCTAATTAGCATTAAGGGCGGTCACAGCTCATGCACCTTTAACACAGTGTGAGTAAATCCAGTCTGTGTTATTCAGAGTTCAGAAATCCAAAGCGCGTTTAAATGCTTCGCTCAGGAAGCTCCGAACGCACACAACCAGCCAATCAATGAAGGGCAGCCGGGTAAAGGCACCAAACCAAACCTCCCTGCACGCTGGGGGTGTGCGTGAAATCTCAAGGTCGATGTCAAAGGGAAAAGCAGATTTCTGCCTCGATCCATGGAACAAAGCGTGTCTATGAGAAGAAATAGCAGTGAGATGTGCTGATTTCTGACTGAGTTCAGGTCTTTCCCTCCATGTAAAACACGACCTCTTCTGAACGCACCCCTTGTCTTGCTGGGGAACAGCTGACTGCAAAGGCAGAGCCTGGGAGGAGGGAAGCAGACCTGACTGCTCCCACTGACAGTTCCCATTGCGCAACTTCTCTTCCTTGGAGGAAAAGGTGGCTCACAAGACACGGCCGGGAACCACGCACCCTCAAACTGCTGCTTCAGGCCACCGCTGGCACATCTGATCTTTTGAAGGTACTGTGCTTGGAAACTTGCTTCTCCACTTGTAAGCATTTGAAAGCAACGTGGGTATTCATATCATTGCTAACACTTTTTAAAACCTATATACATGCATATTTTGGTGTTGCTTCCAGCAACACAGCGTTCATAAAAATGGGTTTGGTGGACTTTCAGAAGAGGGATTGAAAACTTCTTTACCATCTGATTTTTAATTGTTTGTAGTGGAACAGGGTTAGAGGGGAGAAATGTGTATAGGGTGCTATCCAGTGGGCTTCCCACTACATTTCTGTGCTGACAAGACGAATGTTGACAGACTGGATTGACTGGTTTAGCTGAGAGAAAAAAAACCAAAAAACCAGCCAGTCTCAGAACAAGAAGCCTTAAAGTTACACTTTATGCCAATAATTAGTAGCAGTTTTCAACTCACCATAAAGCAGCCACAGAGCACCACCCTGTGGGGAATTACATTCCTGGGCTTTGAGGTGTTTTTATCGTTCCACATTTCCAGCCTTACAACAAATGTTTAAGTACGCACTTAAACATTTTGTGCAGATCATGTAAAGCAATTGACTTTGCAGAGGGCATGCAGCTCTATCACGCAGCTCTGCTTACCCGAAGAGGTCAACCTTGCAGTGCATCCTGCACACACATTTGTGCAGCAAATCTGTATTGCATTTATATGCTGCAAAGTACAGGAAATAACAGAGATTTTCCCATTCTTTCCTCTTGTGCTTCCACTCAGTACCCAGAAGGATGATTACTCCAGTTTGATTTTCCAGGTGGAAACAGGCTTGACATCTCAGCCCATCTCAACACTGCTGGTGGCAAAACCAGAAGCTTTGAAGAGTTACCTGAAAGGTTCTGCAATAGTGGGACCCTTTACAGGAGTGACTCCAGCACCCAGCAGTCAGGAATCACCTGCTAAGGGAGGCAAGGAAGGTTTTCAAAGCATCTCTTACCCTTCAGTCATGCTAACTCACCGTTTCTCAGGCAGCTCTTTCGCCTTCAAACTGCTTCACAGTCTGTGTTGTCCATCTGCACTTCAGCCCGTGTCTCTGCCTTCCAGAGGTGTAGTTTAGCTGTACTAATCGCAGAGATCGCAGAGATGTTCCACCTATGCAGTATGCCTGCATTCATGCTGACTTTGACATGATTGGTTTTTAGGGAAGATGCTGGCAGCCCACTTTGATTGCCCAGGAGGCCCAGAAAATCTCTACGTGAAAGAAGTGATGAAACCACATCCAAGAGAAGGAGAAGTTCTTGTGAAAGTCTCTGCCAGTGCTCTGAATAGGGCTGATTTACTCCAGGTACGTGTATGTTAAGTGGGTTTATGCACCTGAAAACACCAACTTTTCAAGTCTCCATTTGTAGTCCTGACAAATCAGAAGAGTTAAGAGAGATTGGCCTTGGTGAGCGTGTGGATGGGAGTCTTCTAAGGAAATGCTCATAGGGCTGAAAGAAGAGGTGTTGACTGAGTAGGTGAATGCTTTTATTTTGGTCCCTGCAATACATGGAGACATGGAAAAGCAGCTGTCTTTCAAAAAAAGATGTAAAATGAGAGCTCCAGTCTTTCTGGATGCTTAGACCATTCCCTAATTTGAGCAGAAAACGATGATCAGGAACTGAAAGCCATTCCCAGTATGGATTGGTGTGGAGGTAGGGAGCTTGCAGCAAATGATACTTGCACAGTTTTAAGAATCAAATATACTTACTAGGGAAAAGGGAGTGTTGCCAAAGGATGGAAGGTCCTTAAATTACTGAAACCTTTGCACAGTCCAAAATCAGGATAAAATAAAAAGGCGTGCAGATAGGAGGTATGCAAATAAAATACCACAGGTTGTTACACTGATGTATGGCTTTTCCTTCCCTACCCTCTCTTTTGTTTTGTTTTAGAGGAGAGGGAAGTACCCTCCCCCCAAGGGAGCAAGTGATATTTTAGGCTTAGAAGCAGCTGGGAGTGTGGCTGGGCTCGGACCTGGCTGCACTGGGCGGTGGAAGATTGGCGATGCAGTGATGGCTCTGCTCTCTGGAGGCGGCCAGGCTGAATATGTTACAGTACCTGAAGGCCATCTGATGCCAGTTCCCAAAGACATTACATTTGTTCAGGCTGCAGCCATTCCTGAGGCTTGGTTAACAGCTTTTCAGCTGCTGCATTTTGTAGGTGAGCTGTACTTGCGACTCTATCCTGTCAAAACAGTTCACCTTCATTTCTGCTGTTAAATCCTCTGATTGTTGCCTCCATCTGAATGCTGTCTGCCTTCAAACTGTTTTCTCTGTCACACCATTCACATCTTACCTATCTGGTCAGAATAAGGTATGAACTCACATTCTGAAATCCTGACCACATCTGTCCAGTCACAACATCCTCTGCTGACTTCAGGAGAACCAATCCTTAATGTTACCCAAAACTTGAGGAATTTCTCCACTGCTCAATATTCACATTCAGTGAGTTTTCTGTTGGCAGCAGTTCACTGAAGTCAGTAGAATGGAGTCCTGTTAGTACACCAGGAGTTGTGTTCATTCTGGATTTGTTGCTTTAATAAAGGACATGAAGTTGTAAATAGGACTCGGTGAATAAGGGTATCTCTTTAAGATTTCACTATTTTTATCTGTTCCGTTTTTGCCACTTTGATCATGTTTTACTTCCCAGATAATCCCCAAAGGGTAATCGTTTCCTTTACATCCTCCTTCAGGTAAAATACAGAAAGGGGAAACAGTGTTGATCCACGCTGGAGCTAGCGGGGTTGGTATGGCAGCCATTCAGCTGGTGAGACTGGAAAATGCTATTCCCATCGTGACAGCAGGAACTCAGGAGAAACTGGAAGCAACAACAAACGCTGGAGCAGCTGCAGGGTTCAACTACAAGAATGAAGACTTTAGCGAAAAGGTCTTGGCCTTCACTCAAGGTAAGAACCTGTGAGTGAAAGACACAGTTAAGAAAAAGTGTGTATCTTCTAAACCATATGCACATACGCTCAATTTCAACTGCGAGTTTCCACCATCTTTTCAAAAAGAAGCATGCAAATCTTCCATGCTCCCTTTGGTGCTATAGAGGTTGGGAATCCAGTGGTATTAAATCTGCTTTACTATTCCTGAGTTACTACAGGTAGCATAACATCCTGTTCAGGCCAAGAATGTATCTTTCCTTAGTTTATCTGGGCTGTTTTGCACATGGGTCCCTTTGGCTTTATGTTCATTGGCAGTATAAAAATGGTGCCAACATTATTGTCGCTCCTACAGTGAAATGTAGGAGCAAATCCTTGCACTTGTTTGAATATGTGCACAAAACTTTGTTCTCTTACAGTTAGGAAAAATTAGGGTTTTTAAAAGCATTTGAGACACTTTCTGACACGTGTGTGTATCTGTAATGATTTGGTTTTGTGCCTCATGCTAGGATTCTTTACAAATCTTTGTGCCAGTTCATTTCCCAGGATTTAAGTAATACCTGCAAGAATAATTCTGTACTTAAAGAGAATAATGTTTTACTTTTGCTTGCTTGAGATTATTCTGCCTTTAATACAGCTCAATGGTATTGCTGTTTCTTTTTTTTTTTCTTTCTGTTTCTACTTGAGGTTCTGGAGTAGATATTATTTTAGATTGTGTTGGTGGCTCTTACTGGGAAAAGAATGTCAGCTGCTTGAGAACTGATGGCCGGTGGGTTATTTATGGACTATTGAGTGGAGGTGAAGTTCATGGAGATTTGCTTGCAAGGCTGCTTTCCAAAAGAGGGAGCATCCACACAAGTCTATTAAGATCACGAGACAAGGAGGCAAGTAATGACTATCAACACTATATAGTTTAATCTTAAATTTGTGACAGTTTTGAAAGTTTTCTTTTGATATCAGCTCTAAAGCAGAAAAAAAAGAGTACCAGGTTGAATTGTTAGTACAGACTTTAGAAAACACTGCAAAATTACGTTAGTTTCCTTTTTCTACCTCTATGAAGTGCATCCTTCCAGTAACCAGTACACCAGAGGAATGCATTGGGAATACTCAGGACTTTTTAACATTCTTAATGACTACCATAATTCTAAAAGATTTGTATCATAGATAATCAGATGACTTGATCAAGTCTGGGGGAGAGAAAGAGAAGAACCTCCATCAGGTCATCTGCAGCCACACTCCTCAAAGCAGAGACCAAGTTAATTTCAAGTCCAGAAATTACCAAAAGAAAATCACTTTATGTGGGAAATTCAGTTATGACTATAAAAGGCACTTCAGGATACATGTTGCCCATGAGTCAACCTGAGAAATGTCTGAGAATTGTATACATTTTGTATGCTGTCTTCAGAGACTGTTCAGTGAATGTGAATGACTAGAAAATGATTTCAAAAATGCTTTATTTTTCTGCAGTATAAGGAGCAGCTGGTGAAAGCCTTCATAGAAAATGTGCTGCCCTATTTCTCTGAAGGAGCCTCTCCGCATCTCCAGCCACTTGTTGACAGCGTTTACCCTCTGCATGAGATTGTGGAAGCACACAGGAAAATGGAAGAAAACAAGAACATTGGCAAAATTGTTATTGAAATGCCACTGAAATCACCCTAAAGAAAGGCCCTCTGCTGTAGTTGCTTTACGGGTAGGAGCACTATGGATGCCTTAAAAGCTGAGTTTCTGCTATTTCTGCTTCCAAACTGGAAATGATTTATTGTGGAAGACGCAAAAAAATGAGGGCCAAAGCAAAGCCTTACAGGATATGTGAATAAAAAAAGCAATTCACACTGCAGATACAGCGTATGACATCTTTACACAGGAAAACAGATAACAGCAGGACAAGGGGAAATGGTTTTAAGTTGAAGGAGGGAAGATTTAGGCTGGATGTCCGGGGGAAGTTCTTTCCTATGAGAGTGGTGAGGTGCTGGAACAGCTGCCCAGAGGGGCTGTGGATGCCCTGTCCATCCCTGGAGGTGTTCAAGGCCAAGTTGGATGGGGCCCTGGGCAGCCTGGGCTGCTATGAAATGTGGAGGTTGGTGGCCCTGACTGTGATGGGGGGGTTGGAGATTCATGATCCTTGTGGTCCCTCCTACCAACCCTGGCCATTCTGTGATTCTGTGAAAACCACCACACGTTTATCTCCACTCAAACTTTTGGGTTCATTTGTTTTCCCACAGCTTTCCAAGCCGCACAATTCCTACACCTCAGCAGGCCCCAGCCAAGCCCCACCTGAACAAAATGGCTGCCAGCACCGCTTCCCACAGCCCACGGGAGGCGGGAAGGGAGGCAGGGCGGTGGGCGGGGCTAGAGGCACGCAATTACGCGAGGTAGCGCGGCAGCACTTCCGGTGAGCGCGCGCGGTGCAACCTGGGATAGCATCCGGGTCTTCCGGTAAGGAGAGCGGCGGCGTCGGAGGACCGCTGCTGGAGGACCGCTGCCTGCTGCCGTTTCTCTCCCAGGCCCGAGGCCCCTCCGTTATCCCAGCGCCATGGCGATGCAAGCGGCCAAACGAGCCAACGTGAGTGCTCTTACCGGGTTCTAGCTTGGTAAAACCACGTAAATTCTATAGCTGATGGGCAGTAGGCCTGAGATGTAGTAGGTAGGCTGTAGCATTCAAGGTTTGAAGTGAGTTATGTGTGTAACACAACGTCTGTTGTTTCTGCTTTAGATTCGGCTGCCACCGGAGGTCAATCGGATCCTATACATCAGGAACTTGCCTTATAAAATCACCGCGGAGGAGATGTATGATATTTTTGGGAAATACGGACCTATTCGGCAAATCAGGGTGTAAGTAATTTCAGTTTTCTTTGAGGAGGACTTAACTTATCCCAAGGCTTTGGGATGGCTGTCGTGTCAGTATGCCTATTACAGGGGGAACAACTGGTTTTAATAGCTGAAAAAGCTGAGTGTGCTTTAGCAGCATCCCTGTGTGCTAAAGGAGCATGTGATTGTGTTTCTCTTGTGTGTCAGTTTGTTGGTAAGCAGAACGGTGCTGGTAGGAATGTTGGAGTGGCTTAAGCCTGGTCTGAATGTAGGTAAGTGGGGAAAAATAAGGACTTAAACCTTAAATGAACTAACCTTTTATTTTAAGTAAAGGTAAAAATATGAAAAGCAAGGTTTGAGGGCAATCACTTCTGCTCAATGAGTATTAGATAAAGAACTAATGATGAAACAGGTATGGTACCACTGATGGGTGCAGAAAATACTGCACACCTTGCTGTGCAGCTCAGCTGAGGCTGTACTTGTCTGTGCCAAATCCTAGCCTCTTCCCTTTAGTTCTTTCAAATATTGATGACCTGAGCTCTGATGTTCCTTGTTGTCTTGAGTGTCGTGCCATGGATCTAACTGTAATTTCATCTGGTTAATGCCATGTTCTAAGTTTCAGGCAGAAAGAGTTGACTGAGGACTTAGGATTAGCTGTTGAGAACTGCAGTAAGATTGGCTGGAGTATTGGCATTCATACAAGATGATCTTTTTTTTTTTCAAGTTGAGAGAAATATTTTGGAAGGGAGGAGCAATAAGATTTGGTGCTCATCTTTTAATACTTGAAAAGAAGTTAAATGTAGGGTAGATACAATATGGTTTTCTTCACACTGCCCTTATCCAGATGTTGGCAAAATAACTTGTGGCATCTCTGAATTCACAGGTTGGTGACTGGCTGACAGCTGAATGTGTCCTTGCTGTTTTTGTTGCTCTGTTTCCCTGTGCTCTTAGATTGGGGTGGGTAATGAACCCGTAATGTTCATCACTTCAATTCTGTGGGGCATAGATATGATAACAGCTAAAAAGATCAAACTCCACCCCAGATCCAAGTGCTTGTTTTGGCCAGTGCTGTAGTGAAAAAAAGCGATGGCTCAGTGCAAAGAACAAAGTGAGTTTTCTGTGTAGAGTTACTCCCAGTAAACATGAACAGAGGGGAGTAGTGGGGTGTGCTCCTGCATGCTGTGTTGAAACGTGCAGCTGGTGGGGTCTTATTAATACAGAGAAGAACAACAAAAGGGACTGGGCAAGGGTTAAAAGAACGAGAGAGAACATAATCCTATTGCTTGGCTAAATAGCTGGGATTTTCACTCATTGACATACGCTGACAGAAGAGAATTAATTGAAGAAGAGTAGGTTAGACACGCCACATTTGGATGCAGTGCTCCAGCTGAGGCCTCACAGCACAGAGCAGAGGGGCAGGATCACCTCCCACGCCATGCTGGCCACGCTGCTTTTGGTGCAGCCCAGGGTGCAGTTGGCTTTCTGGATTGTGAGGGCACAGTGCTGGCTCATGGCCAGCTGCCATCCACCTGTACCCCCAGGTCTTTTTCAGCAGGGCTGCGCTCAATCCTTTCTTCCCCAGCATTGGTCTGAGCTCCCTTTGTGAAACTCCCTTTGTAATTCTTCTCCTTCTCTGTGCAATTTTATCCTTTTTGTTTGCATACGCACCATGACATGGACGTGTGTCATGTTGTTTATTGGAGTTTATTTATAAGTCAGCTCCTAAGAAAGGGTTGTTGTGATTCCTAAGTTGGCTTTTAGCTGAGATCTCGTGGCTGTGTAAGCTCTGTAATAAGCTCTGTGTAAGCTCAGAGCTGGTTAGAGTGATGTGCCCAGACGTGTCTCCTGCTCCTCAGGCAAAGGAAATTGAATTGATGATCTGATGAGTGATGGTCGTGCAGCTGAAGCAGCATGCATCAGTGTAGTTGTGTTGTGCTGAGAACAGTATTCTGTCTCAGTGCTGAATATTAATTAATAGAGTCTTGTGCATCGAGTTTGATATTAATGCTTGTTAACATTTGCTCTGCAGTGGAAACACTCCAGAAACAAGAGGAACAGCCTATGTGGTTTATGAAGACATCTTTGATGCCAAAAATGCTTGTGATCATCTGTCAGGATTCAATGTGTGCAACAGATACCTTGTCGTTTTGTACTACAATGCAAACAGGGTAAGTGCTCTCGGTTTTCTTATTGTTACCTTTGAAGATGTTCAGCATAAAAAAAAAATATCAGTTTGAGAAAATGGTTGGATGCTTTTAAGAAATAATTCCAAATTGATAGAGAGAATTGGAATTGGATTGGATAAACGGCTAGGATTTCATCTTCAGTGTGATTCATGTGCATAAATCACAGCCTTTGGACTAGGGATGTGGAAGTTGTGTTTCTGGTGAGAAGAGGTAGAAGGGGCCAAACTGTGACAGAGGGCTTTGAGATTTGCTTAACAGGAAAAAGTCTGTAAATCCTTGATGTTCTGCCTGATGAGGCCCAGAGTCTGGTGGAGTTCTCTGAGGTTGAGAATTAAGCAGTGCTGTTTGCATGTGATGTCGATGTCATTCACAATGAGAAGTTAGTTGCAGTTTATTGGAAATAACATACCTTAAGATGCAGTTTTTCTTCTCATGCGTATTATTTCCCTTAATTACAGGCATTCCAAAAGATGGACACAAAGAAGAAAGAGGAACAGCTTAAGCTGCTCAAAGAAAAATATGGAATAAATACAGACCCACCAAAATAAACTGATGTGTTTTAAAAACTGTTCTCCAGATCTGCCGCTGTGTTTTGAATCTAAGCAAGGATTCCCACTGAAGTATAACTTACTGTTTTTAGCAGGCTGTAATTTGAATCTTTAGATCAACTGAATAGATGTGAAACATCAGAATATCTGTTTTAAGGTAAAATCCCCTGAAGGGACACGACTTCCTGTGTTGTAAGGGCTTGGATGGGTAAGTGCTGTGTAACCACAGTCCTGTTTGGGGCAGACCTTCGGAAGATGGGACCACATAAGTGGAGCAGTTCTGGCCTGCTGCTCCCCAGCCTCCAGAGCTGACTTTAAACATGGTAGCCAGCTGATGATGCAGAAGAGTTTCAAGGGCTCTATGAACTATCTCTGAATTTCACTTGCTGCTTCCAAAAATTGATTAAATGCAAGTAAACAGGACCCTCCCTGCTTTTTTGCTTGTGGTTTGATTCTTCTTCATTCTTACATACTGTATACAACTCATTGTTTCTTTTTCTTCCTGGAAATATTTGATGGAGTGTTGTGGTTTAACCCAGCAGGTGGCTGAGCACCAGTTGTTTCCTCACCCCCTGCTTCCCAGTGAATGACAGAGAGAATGAAAAAGGAAAAAAAGAAAGTAGAACTCATGGATTGAGATAAAACTACATGCTAAGCTGCACATAAGGGTGATAGTTATGACAAATATATGCATATACGTGTATATAACAAGTGATCCACAAGCAGTTGTCCACCACCTGCCAACCAAGGCCCAGCTAACCTTCTGAACAGCAGCAGAGAGCAAGACAAACTCCCACCCCCTTCAGAACTCTATCTGTATGATGTTCCAGGCTATGGAATATCCCTGTGGCTGGTTTCAGTTAGTTGTCCTTGCTCTGTTCCCTGCCAGCTCCTCAGGCCCTTCACTGAGAAGGGCTTTGGCTCTGTACAACGCTGCTTAACAGTGACTGTAAACATCAGCATGTTATCAGTGTTGTTTTTCTCCTAGAACAAAAACACAGCATCATACCAGACACTGTGGAGAGATCACTTGTGTTCCAGCTGAAACCAAAACAAGGAGGTTTAACCTATTCGGCTGCTGTTTGCTGGAAACAAAGCTATATTTATAATGGAGATTCCTCTACAAATAGAAAATGAGGGGCCATGTGAAGTAATTCAACTGTTTAGGTGATTTCTGTCAAGATACCTCATGCCCAGTGCTAAGAGCTCCTCCTGACAGCTCTCACTGCTGTACGGCTGAGGATGCTGGAAGAGATTTGGAAGTGTACCAGATTTGCACTGAACTGAAGCAACAG